ACCCCTGTCCCGGCACAGACCTTGCAAAACCCCTTTCCCCATTGGAAACGCTAGCTTTAACAAGCCTTGACCAAACTATCATGGTTCTACTATGTTCTATTCGTTTTTGATCGAATCCCATCGGAACGCCGGTTTCCAACGGGCCTTTTTTCGTGGGCACTGTTGACGCCCACAAACACAAACGCGAAGCAGGCCCTTTTCGTAGTTTGTATACTGCAGGATGGGTTCTGATAAAGGAAAAAACGAGGTCCAAAACGAGGTCAAAACGAGGTACGGAAAAAGCCCCGCATCTACACACATGGACTTTGGCCCGCAAGCCGCAAACCTGCCCTTCCTTGGATCACTGGTAGCGAAACAATGACAATTTGCAGAATCCCAGCACACCGCCATGGCAGTGTAGAGATGATAATCCCAGCGTTGTGTAGAAGTACCCGGAAACAGCAACAGCAGCAGCCGTCGAACCAGCAGCCGCAGCAACAGCAAGACGTCAGTAGCTGCAGAACCCAACAGCAACCATCCCAAACACAATGAGAACGCAACTAGCAAGATTAAAGCACTATGCTTAATAGTAAAACAAAGCCCTACCCCAAACACAACCTAAACGCCGCTTCGCCACTTTAGGTCTACATGAGATATAGTAAAACAGCAACCTACCCTAAACACAAGCTAAACGCCGCATCGCCACGACTTCCACAAAAGCCTTCCCCCAAACTAATTTCAAGATTTTTGGGATTTCGCCACGACTTGGGCAGTTGGGAGTATTTGCCAAAAGCTTCCGAGCCATGGGTTTTAGCCCGCGGACGTATTGCAATTTTGTGATGTCTCCTTTGACGGGACGCGGTTGTCCATTGACGTCCACGTACGAGCCGCGCAAAGCATCAAGTAACTGCTTTGCAGCCGTCTCCACGTGGTGTCCAGTCGGCTGCACCCAAACATTTTCGTCTTCGTCGTAGTACATGCGGGAGTACGCATCTGTTGTGCGTGATAGGTTTAATGAAGACCGGAAAAGGAGATTCCACGATGTGAAGCCAAAGACCCAATCTCGACTAACTTGCGCCTCCACACGGCGCGCGAGCGCGCGAACCCACGTGCTGAGTTCGACGCGCGGTTCAATGGCCGCTCGTCGGTGCCTAGGTTGCTTGCTCCACCGAGGTGGATCAGGCATGCCGACACCGTACGGAAACACAAAGGGAAAGGCCAATCCGAAGTATGTAGGTTGAAATTGGTCCAACAATTTTGTACCGGTATACAAAACGACTTCGGGTAGCGCAGTTTCTGCGGTTCCGCTGTTGTGGTGCACAATGTCTTCCATTGCAGAAACGTGCCGTGCGTTAATGTCATGGAACCCTGCGCTTGATTTTTCCAAAACGACAGCATTTGGCTTCAGGAAGCGAGTAAATTCGCGTTCGACCTGCTCCTCTGTCATTGCGTCATTGACAGGCGTTGCTGCTTTCTGGCGTTGCACTTGCGCCAAAGTGCCATCATTCGCGAACAAGGCGACAATTTCGGCCGGTACACCGTCTTCTGGCAACTGCTCGGCCCGTAGTGTCACGGCATCCATGTCGACACCTTTGTATGCCGGGTGGCCGCGTGACACCATGGCTGCGATCAAACCGACCACCACGTGACGCCGAACCACAGCTTGGTGAATAATTCTTTGCGGCACGGTTGCTCCTTCTTGCTTGTTTCCAACCTTGATAAGGACAGCAATCTTGTCGCGCAATTCGTCTCCGACATGTGGCAGACGGCACGTTGCGGCCGCGCCCGCGGTAGGATTCAACCTTTCGAGTTCGGACAAAAGATCTTCCCATTGCAGCGGAAAGGTCGTGGCATTTCCTTTCGCGCATAGGCGGTGGCGGTTCATAAAGGCATCTTGCGCCAAGCTGCGGTCCGACAGGTACCGCCATTCAATGCTGAAGCATGTCAACGCTGTCAAACACGGACTCGCACTCAAAACTTCTAAGACCGCACATTGCAGCGCGTAAAGGTCGCGCGGCGGGTAGCCGAGCAACATATCATTTGTCAGCGCCTCTGCCGGCTTCTGTCCATGACGATACAACGAGTCACAGCACGCGACGCAAATGGGGTCCTTCAGTAGCATGGTGTTTCGGTGTGGCGAAGGGTGCGTTTTGGAAGCTTGCAGCACCACCTCCAGCAGCACCACTAGCAGCATGCAGCGGGAGCAGCAGCAGCAGCAGCAGCAGCCCAGCAGGCCCAGCAAGCCCAGCAAGCCCAGCAGCTGAACTCGCTGTGTTTTTACTAGAATCAGAAGGGACGTCAAGCCCCGGGGGCAGCATGTTTTTGGAGGTCGTTCCGTCCTTCAGTAGCATGGTGTTTCGGTGTGGCGAAGGGTGCGTTTTGGAGGCTTGCAGCATCACCTCCAGCAGCACCACCGGCAGCATGCAGCAGGAGCAGCAGCAGCAGCAGTAGCAGCAGCTGCAATCGCTTTGTTTTTACCAGAATCCAGAAGGGACGTCGCCCCGGAACAACATGTTTTTGGAGGTCGTTCCGTCCTTCAGTAGCATGGTGTTTCGGTGTGGCGAAGGGTGCGTTTTGGAGGCTTGCAGCACCAGCTCCAGCAGCACCAGCAGCAGCAGCAGCAGCAGCAGGCCCAGCAGCTGCAATCTCTTTTTTTTTTCCAGAATCCAGAAGGGACGTCAAGCCCCGGGGCAGCATGTTTTTGGAGGTCGTTCCGTCCTTCAGTAGCATGGTGTTTCGGTGTGGCGAAGGGTGCGTTTTGGAGGCTTGCAGCACCACCTCTAGTAGCAGCACCAGCAGCAGCAGGCCCAGCAGGCCCAGCAGGCCCAGCAGGCCCAGCAGGCCCAGCAGGCCCAGCAGCTGAACTCGCTTTGTTTTTACTAGAATCCAGAAGGGACGTCAAGCCCCGGGGCAGCATGTTTTTGGAGGTCGTTCCGTCCTTCAGTAGCATGTTGTTTCGGTGTGGCGAAGAATGCGTTTTGGAGATTTGCAGCACCATTAGTACCGGACATAATACCTGTGTATTTTATTTCGTTTCTGCGCCTTGCCACGGAACAGCACAGCACCTTGCCACAAAAAGGGGGGATAAATGGGAAGGTTTATTTACTTAATAAAATGAATAATTTCACGAGCTCAAGACCCACATTCTGGTTGAAGTCGTCGAGGAACTGCTCAGGGGGGTGAAGGGGTTTGGTGGGTGGGTTTTCTTACTATATCAAAATATTTTATCAAATATATTGCATAAAAATATATGAAAAAGGGGAAAACCTAAAAGTGCGAAGCACCGAAGAATATTGATGCCAATTTGGTTTCATTCATTGACCATTCTTCCGGGGTCGGCGGCAGGGGCGGCAGCCCTTAAATCCTAGGTGTTTGGTGGGGTATTGCCTAAGTAAGGTCGCAAAAATCTGCACCTAGACTTGGGCAATACAGAGGTTGTACCCTGGGATTTAGGATTTTTTTTTTTTTGCCGATCTCAGGGTGCAGAAATTGGCATGTGGACTTGGGAAACAGCCCTACTATTATATTCTACCATGATTTTTGCCGCAGAGGATTCGGGGTCCTTGATTTTGAGATTTAGGAAAAAAAAAAAATTGCCGATCTTTTGGCTTGGGGGACCCCGTATCCGTCGCATCCGCACATCCGTCGCATAACAATATTTTATTTTATATTTTATCGAAGTACCAACCCCAAAAAAAAACTATCTGAACTACGATCGAATGGTGATCGTTTGTCCTGACTGGCACTTCCACAAATAGAAGGGTAGATGGATGGAGAGACTAATTATCAACCCCCATCTTGGCATGACTACCGAAAGAAGGATAAGAATTAATAATATTGAAACATCCAAGGGACACTAACCCAAGACGATCTTTCCTTTGGGATCATTTTCACTAGTATATACCAAGGCCACCTACCTTGATAGATAAGATAGATAAAGAAATAAATAATGGAAAACATATATCACACAATCAGAGGTAGAACTAAATCACCAAGGACCCTAGAATCAAATTCCAAAGACCCCCTATCGGCTGCATATATTGATATATATATATATATAATAATATATTTATATTTTATCAAAGTACCCAACCAAAAAAAACTATTTGAACTACGATCGAATGGTGATCGTTTGTTCTGACTGGCACTTCCACGAATAGAAGGGTAAATGGATGGAGACACTAATTCTCAACCCCCATCTTGGCATGATTGCCGAATGGCGGATAAGAAGTAACAACATATTGAAACATCCAAGGGACACTAGCCCAAGACGATCTTTCCTTTGGGATCATTTTCACTAGTATATACCAAGGCCACCTACCTTGATAGATAAGATAGATAAAGAAATAAATAATGGAAAACATATCTCACACAATCAGAGGTAGAACTAAATCACCAAGGACCCTAGAATCAAATTCCAAAGACCCCCTATCGGCTGCATATATTGATATATATATATAAAATATTTAATATTTTATCAAAGTACCCAACCAAAAAAAAACATATTTGAACTACGATCGAATGGTGATCGTTTGTTCTGACTGGCACTTCCACGAATAGAAGGGTAAATGGATGGAGACACTAATTCTCAACCCCCATCTTGGCATGATTGCCGAATGGCGGATAAGAAGTAACAATATATTGAAACATCCGAGGGACACTAGCCCAAGACGATCTTTCCTTTGGGATCATTTTCATTAGTATATACCAACGCCACCTACCTTGATAGATAAGATAGATAAAGAATAAATAATGGAAAACATATATCACACAATCAGAGGTAGAACTACATCACCAAGGACCCTAGAATCCATTTCCAAAGACCCCCTATCAGCTGCAAAACCTTATATGTAATTAAACAATATAATATAATATATATATATAGTATATTATAAACTATGTATACATATACATATATATATATAATATAAACACATGTTGGTTTACTCACTCAAGTCACGTTGAAATCTGCACACACGTACGTCTGACTTCCTCCTTCACCGACCGTCACCGCCAAGGCACATCGTTGAAGAGGAACCCGGCCGGCGCTTGGATGAGAACGATCTCAGCGGTATCCGGGGGAAGGGCAGATGTTTTTTGTTGAAGGAAACCTCAAAAGTATTTAAAAGTATGAGCATTTAAGGAATTTACAATTTATAGGAATTTCTACCCAGAAAATCATTATGTGGGTAAATCTCCACATGTTCTGCTTTTTAGTCAGGTGAAAGCTGAAAATGAGGTCGTAAACTGCAATTTCAGACGTCATGTAGTGGCAGCTTGCTCCTGGGTCAGGACTGCGAACGCTCAGTTTCTGACATGTTGATGATCCAGGAGGTCCATTAACATTCCAGTAATACCGATTAAAACTGGACGACACATCTGTAAATCCATGGCAGAGCAGACACCCAATATAAAACCTCCTGACTCCAAAAAAGGCAAATCTCGGAGACGCAAAAGTCAACATTCCGGGGCTGGGTAGTGTCAAAACACACCAACACCCTTCATTGTGACATGAAGAGATAAAAACAACAGAATAACAAATTAACCCACCTATTGTGACACAAGTTTAGACAAAATACTATGGCATTAATCAATAAAAGGCATGATGGTACAAAATGACATGCCTCATCTAAGGTTCTGCATGGTTCTGCCCTTCGACTTATCTGCAGCCTCATCGAAATTCAGGGGTCATGCGACCTCATATCTCCACAAACTGATGCAAGCACCAACCAAACCATGTAAAACAGTCCGCAGATGTCTTAGTGTGACCCCGGAGAAAGGTAACTGTTTTTTTTTTTTTCGCAGGATATATGATCAAGACCCTTGTAGCCTCCCACCAAAACAAAGTGTGTGCTTGCCGAATGCATCCAAATGTCTACACTGGCCAATCTTTGATACTCTGCAAAACAGAAAGGCCTGCTGAGTATATCTATCTAATTATATATAATATCTCGTGGAAACAAAAAATCGGGTGATTCATGGCAATTCCATGAAATTACTAAACTACCCATCCATTGCTGACCCAGTATCATTCCATTAACATCCCATTGATGTCCTATTATACCCCCATTATACCCATTGTATATCATTGTATCCCAATATTGTTGGTGTTATTCCCATTCAGACCCTATAATTAGGACCATTCCAATAAAATCAGAGCAATCATTCATGGACATATCACCCGATTCATCACCAGTGTCCGTATTTGTTTTTCCGTATGCCAGGCATATCCCATGAATATCCTCTGGTAAACTAAGAGTTGCTATTCAAAATTGCCATAGAAATCGTTGATTTACGCTATAACATGGTGATTTTCCTGAGTTTTTTGTATGTTTATCCTCATGGGTATCTCCCGTGGCAACCTTGGAATATCCGAATATCAGATCCCCCTGGATCTGTTTCCATCTCCAAGCAACATCTCCGGAGATCAATTTGGTGGGCAGCTGTAACTGAATAAAGAGACCAGGGATGGCCGACAACCTTGGCGCTGCTCTGTTCATCCGAGTTCATCCCGAATGACAAAGGCGCTATGTGAAACCAAGAACCAGAGGGTCTCAAATTTGCCAAGCCTATCTGGGGATGGGACCCTGGTACCTAGTGAACCCCAAAATAGCTGGTAAATGGATGTTCATCCCACTAAAAATGTATCTATAGGTATTGACCCATACCCATCTGAATTATGGCTTTCCGTGGGGTTTGGCCCATAGAAAACATCATTCAGAAAACATGTCAAAAAAGTTGGGAAGTGCCTTCCTATTCCAAAATGTTCTATGGACACATATATAGTTGCCTTGTTTTTCCAGATGTGAGTAGTATCACTGAGAGTATCTGGTGGGTCACAACCCAAAAACCACAATTTGTCGTGGATGCTGATCCCAGCCATATTTGGTTTGAACATGCTGGTTGTTCCATTTCTATGTAAAATGCCTTTTTTTGAATTGTTCTCTATGAAACTGTGAAACTATGAAATAGGATGAAATAGGTATCCTCAAAGACTGAATTCCCACTATTTCCCCCGATTTTGTCGGCTTCACCCTCAATTGCATACAGCTAATGGTCGCCGAACAGTATGAGTCAAAGTTATATTCAAACTATGTCAAATGTTGGCATTCAAAACTTCATGCTCTACCATTTTTCCACCACAAAACCTCATGGCCATTGCCATTTCGGGATACTGTAGCTCCCTTTTGAGACGAAGCCTGGCAATTACCGCTACAATGTGTTGCCCCAAATCGTTCGCTAACTTGGTGCAAATAACAATAGCATAATTACCCTCTGGCAAACTAACATAGCTATTGAACATGGTCATTTATAGTGAAATTTCCCATAACAAATGTCCATTTTCCATAGTTTTTTGTATGTTTACCAGGCCGGGAAACTAGGATTTATGATGATGACATCCCTGGTCTGACGCATGAGGGATGCGTCTTAAACCATTAGACCATAGCGGCCTTCTGCCATGCCATATTGAAACCCATGAAAACCCACTCTAATACAATATAATATTATAATTATAATATACATAGAATATAGAATATATTGTTATCAATCTCCTTGTAAATCTCCATGTCTAAGGCTTCTAGCCTCAGTTCCTCAGTTCAACGCTTCCGACCCCGCCCAGCTCAGCTGTTCCAAGTGACCCGTTGCGATAGGACACCCCGGTGACCGGATCCTGGTGGTCCCATGTAGCTATTGAACATGGCCCTAATCGAAAGTTCGTGGATTTACCCATTGGAAATGGTGGATCTTTCCTTAGTTTTTTGTATGTTTACAAGGGGGTATTCATTAATGACACTCCCCTTATTAGAAGTTATTAGAATGGGATATCCAGATATTGGAATCTTGGAATTTTCATGATATCCCCTAGCATGAATGAATGATATGGGGATATTGGATTAATCAAATTAGATTGGAGAACCAATTCCCCTACTGTAGTATTTAATATCATGTTACCCATAGGATCCATGGTGCTGGTATATATGCTAACATTTGGGGTATATTGATGGTAAATGTTACCATATATGGCATACATGGATCCTATGGGTTATATTAGAAGGATTGTTTCTTCTGACCAATTCATGATTAGTCATAATGCTGATAATTATGGTCATAATCTTCAGATATATATTGCCAATATTGTATCATCAACATTGAATATACCAGAATAGATTGGTTCATGATTCTTCTGGGATATTCACTATTCTTCATGGGTTTATTGTAGTTGATTCATCAACTTATGACTATTTATCACTATTTGGGGCCTTTATGGGACTATGGCAACCCGAGCAAGAAAGGTCAGGTCATTGTATGCCAAAAAGGCCAGAAGCTGACCAAGCCTGTCATTCCCTACTGGTCCCTATAGTTACAGTGACCTCAATGATTCAAATAAGCGTCATCTTTGCTTCACATAGATGTTTTCTTAAAACTGCCCGATTCAACTAGCCATCATCTTTGCTTAAAATCCTATTTAATAATAATAATAACAATAATATATATATATATATATTATATATATATTATATATATATTATATATATATATATAGATATTATAATATATATATAATATTATATATGTATACGTATATTGTATATATATATACATATTCTTAAAGCTGCCCTATGTTTGGTCCTTAAATCACTGGATTTCTGGTGAACCATCAATCAACATGGCGTAGGCCAACATGGCGTAGGCCTAGGCGAACCATTTTTGCGTCCCCGAGGTCCCGTCCTGGTTGCGAACCACCCACTGTCTGGCTTTGTTGTACACCGGATAGCCCTTCCTCACGAGAGTGAAAGCACAACTGGTTGCGTATCCATATGCTTAGTTGACCCTTCCCAAAAGATATTGGGTTTGTCTGTAAATGGGGTATGATCAACAGAGTGTACCCAATCTGGTTGCTGGGCCAACAATATGAAAGTGAGCTGCGGCACTGGGCCAACACCATGATGGACATAACATATCTGCACCAGCAGCCAGAAGCTACCATTACTCTCCATAATTGTTGTGGTTTCTATCACCATTACTCTTATGTTTCAAAGTTGCTTCCACTGCGCTTACTCAAAAGAAATGAAAAAAATGACTGTAGATCAACAGCGATCCATGAAGCGTCTAGGATATTATTGATCAAATCCCCATCTGGGTCTATATATATATATATATACAGGGTACCCCAATTCCGAACTAGTGCTTTTTCCAACCTCAAGTTCCCCATGAAGTTTAACGACACAATCCCATTCAGGGGTTACTAGCCATTTCTGGATAAACCATGATAAACTATGATAAACCCATTTTTGTCAGCTTATGATGGAATAGATTTGGAACATTTTGGAACTACATACTACATTGCATCAGCCTTTGGTCTGTTTTGCCTACTTCTTCCTGCGAATCGGTAGCACTAAAAAAGGCTTCCAAGTCTCTTCAGGATGTTTGCACAGAAATGGGGTGTACCGTTGTACCCAAACAATGGCACTGAACAAATGCACAAATGAAGGTTACTCCATTTAATCTCACCTATACCATCTACTTTGGATGCTTTCAATGGGGAATATGATGATAAACCATTGGTTTTGATGAGAGTATCCGCATTTGCAAATCCGCCATGAATGGTAAGCCCCGTTACAACGGTTACAATTGCAATTGTGTTTTTTTTTGAGCATTTATTTTCTTGAAGAACATGAACAACTGACTAGAACTATTTTTTTTCTGAAAGTTTCAGCTAGTAACAGATGTTCATCAGATTCATACTGCAAAGCAAAATAGATGAATCAAAGATATGAACAGCTACTACTAAATTTACTAGCTATTACTAACTGACTAGAACTCTTCCTCCTGAAAGATGTGAACATCAGATTTGTTTATTTTTTGCTAAACCAATGGCTGAAACAAAGATGTTCTGAAACAAAAAATGGCAGAGGTATCTGGACGCTGAGATCCCACACAAGGTGATGGAATCTCGGAAGATCGGAAGCACCTCTGTTTAGCGAACTGGCCACAGTATGTACGTTTGTTGAATGGGGAGAAAACATGGGATGAAATGTCTTGCTGACTATATACTATATATATATACTATATATATATGTTTCTAGAGTCATAAGGTGATATAACATAGTATCTGAATGTATCCAACATAATGGGAATCACATCGCTAAAAAATGCTAATAAGATTATTCTAGTAATGATGAAACAACAAGTAGAACGAATCTGGCCAAAGAATCCGTGTTGGCGTGAAACAAAAGGCAAGATTCCAACCCCGAATAACCCAAAACCTTCGGTGAACACCTGTAAGTTGAAGGTCTGGGCGGTGTGAAATGAGGGGTTCCTTCCAGAAAGACTGCTTGGTTGGTTGTTGACCCACGCGTTCCCAAACAATTTGAGTCCAGGAGTTGTTCCAGATAGAAGAGTTGTTCCAGGATTTTGCAGATGTTCAACAATTTCGAGGTGTCCAACTCTTTTTTTTTGATTTTGGGACAAGACTGAGGTGTCCAGCGCATGTCAAAAGGTCCATTTTCAAAATCGGCAATTGATGCGAGACCTAGTCCGTTGCTTCCCAGGAAGTGTGGCCTTTTTGTTCCCTGGTGAGTACCCCATTCATTCTTCGGCTTGTCACATGTTAGGCCCAAGGCCCAAGCCCATGGTTCTCAGCCAATCATCCCTGGCAGATGATCATTGACTGGATTGCAATCACGGAAAGGCTCTTTGGCAATGAAGGAAAACATCCCGAAACAAACTCTCAGTTACATGGATGTGGTACTTGAAAGAGTCATCGAAGGCTTCTGCCCAATCAGGTTTGTAGGAGAACCATTCTTCCAGAGCCCGGAGAGTAGCTTCGCGCTCTTGGCCACTTTCAGTTTGTCCGGGTCAATCAACAGGTTCTCGAGGCCAAAGCGAAAAAGCCGTTCCACCAGCACAGACTCTTCAGCACTCCCAGCAACCGAAAGGTTGAGCTGAGTCGGCGGTGGTAACATATCCTAATTTAACATATCAATCTGAAGTGGTGCATCATTCAATGGACTCTAGTGCTTTTCGAATATCAACTGACGGAGAAACTCGTGGCCAATCTTTCATATCCTGCATTTGTTTCGAGATTCGGGCTTACGCAGAGATGTATCTTTGGCAAAACCAATTAACAAATCAGGAAAAACTACCATTAATGGACCATTAATGGACCATTAACTCAGTTGGTTTACCCAAAATATATCAACATATCCCATACTTTCAATATCTTTCAATGTTGCTGTCCATGCTGTCCATGCTGTCCCTGGCCTTTTTTCCTGTTGCTGATATCACCATAATTACCTGGTTGGTGGTGCAATAACCATCTTGAAAAACATTAGTCGATGGGAAGGATTATCCCATATATATATATATATTATGGAAAATAAAATTCATGTTCCAAACCACCAACCAGTTACATAATCCAACAACCATATCTTATTAATAGGGGTACCCCTATAGATCTTTCATTTTAACATACTTTCACCACGGATTTTCCATCATCCGACGATTGAGATACCCCCGGAGCCACCGGAAACGTAGCCACCAGAACCAAGCCCCCGGAGCTGCACAAAAAAAAACTCCACAGAGGATTTGGGAGGATTTTCATAGAGGATACATGATCCACTATAAAAATTATATATAATAATTGGATTGGGATTATATATATCTTCTATACCCAATAGTGGATTATATTTATATATATACATATAATCCAATATAATCCAATATAATCCAATATATAATTATATCCAATGGATTTGGATACCCAATTGGATTTGGATCATCCCCGCCACTCGCCGCCACGTGGCCCCAGAAGAGGATGGACTGTCGAAGGTGTCCAGCTGCCAGACGTTCGTGGGCGACTCCTGGACCAACTCCCGGATTGACAAATGGCTGATTTCATGGTGATTTAATAGATGATACCCACGGGTAAACTAACATAGCCAGCCATAGCTATGGAAAACCCATGGTTTCCTTCGGAAAATTATCTACAAATGGCGTGTAAACTCCACATCTGTATAGATCTGTTAGTGAAGTTATGTTACATTATGTTCCTCACATGTCGTTACCCCCAAATCATCCAAAATTAGACCATTTTATATAGTATATGAAACCCGTGCATTTTAAGAAACCCCCAAATTGGTACAAGTAGAGATTTCCAGAATGGATGATACCCACGGGTAAACTAACATAGCTATGGCAAACCCATCGTTTCCTTAGGAAAATTATCTACAAATGGTTCGTAAACTTCACATCTATCTATCTATCTATCTATATATATATATATATATATGTATGTTAGTTAGTTGTGTACCAAAGGGTAATTCCCCATTAATCTTGGATACTAATTCATAAACCCTCTACAATCATCAACCAACGTTGGGTATCTCGCGCTCACGTGGCAGCTCAACGGACACACGTGTCTGGACACACGGCAGGGCTACACTGGGCGAGCGGAGGAATCCACATCCGGCTTTTTCACACAGCGAGTTAGAAAAAACCCTTTGTGAGTTATATATCATTATCATCATTAAAATAATGGTATTAGATATATAATATCATTATATATCATTATATATCATTATATATCATTACCTATTATTATATGGTATTAAATGTTGATTAACTTGTGAGATCTTGTGAGTGGGTCCCACTCACTGGGTTAAAATTTGTTTAAGCCTGAAAAGAATTGTGAAATTCAACGGGTTGAATTTCACAAAACGCAAGTTCGAGGATCATCCTGGCCATCAACATGTCCTGCTATTCCAACTACGGTACCGCCCAAGAGTTGTGTCAAAGGCTACCCCAAAAAAAACATTCAAAGGTTGTAAGGGAAAATCAATGCTGTCATACTCATAGAAGAAACACGACACTGACTAAGAAAGAAGACTTTCCATCACTCTCACGAATTGTCTAGGGTTTTCATGTATGGCATATGTTTGTATGTATATTGTATATACTGTATATATAATATATATGTGTATATGTAACAACATATATAACTAATTATATACATATATGGGATGATCTGGGTAATGTTCATGGATACACCGAATTCTCATAAACCCACCGGTCTTGAAAAAAACTGAAAGTGCAAGTCATGGGGTATGGTCATCATTGGTTTTACCAGATTAGGTTCCACTAACCAGTTTAGGGTCCACTTACTGTAAGATTGGGGGTTGATCTACTAATTCAGTAGGATAAACAACTACCCTCTGGTAATTTAACATAACTATGGAAAATCACCATAGAACTAGTGTATTTTCCCATGAAACATGGTGATTTTCTATAGTTATGTTAGTTTACCAGAGAGTAAGTGGAGCAAACATCAGCGGGACGATCTTTGGGTGTCTTCCAGGGTTGAAGCCACCCACATCCTGACAATCTTCTCTATCCCCATGCAGGAAGGCCCCCCAAGTTTTAAGTTGGTTTATAACCCCATCGAACTATAGATATATCCATCAATCCTGGTTATGATCTATGAATTACATAATATCACATGTATAAACCAGCTTGGCTAACAAACTGGGGCCCAGGATTCCTGTAAGATGGTGACCCCCAAGGATTCGCACCAACGCGCTTGGCGCGCGCCTCCACTGGCGGAATGGTCAGCGTGGGGTTTTTGACCTCAGATGAAGCCGGCAGTCATGGGGATTAGTTGAGTCCCTTACGAAATCATGGGTCGTACCCCCATGCAATGCTCAGTGAAACAGGGATAAACAGGGTAAAAAGCTCCAAGCTCCGTGGTGGAGGAAGATAAAGCAAATGAGAGCAGGAAGAACATATAATATGTCACAGTGCGAGTCAATTCTTACGTCGGACCTATGGAAACCCGGAACAAAAATGCAAGCCAGGAGGTGTGCCAATCAAAAGGTTTAAGGGAAAATTTACAGGAAACCATGGTTTCTACCCCCAAGTATCAAGGTGTCCTGTAAAATTCCCCTCTATCCCATTCTGGGAACAATGGTAAGTTCAACAACCAGCATCCAAATGTACATGTGTATGTGTGCGCGTGTGTAAGTGTCTGCATACAGCATACATCATGCAGCAAGAACAAAGCATTGCAACGAACCAATTCTTCAATAAATAGAACCCACAAGAACAAAATTGGACAGTCAAGGCAGGGACACAACACTTTTTGGCGATGTTGCTAGTGTGAAACTGTCTACAGTAATTTCTAGGGTCACCAATGTAAGTTCAGTTTTCAAAGAATTTGCTATATGATGCTATAAAGTATTTGTATATATAAATGTATATCTGCTTGGTGGTGCAATTTCACCATCTTGAAAAATGATGGAGTTCGTCAATGGGAAGGATGACAACCCATATATGAAATGAACAATAAAATTCCATGGTTCCAAACCACCAACCAGATCATATCAATGTTCATAATGTTCATAGTCATACCCTCTGGTAAACTAACATAACATAACATAACTATATACTATGGAAAATCACCAAATTTTTAATGGGTAATTCCATGTAAAACCACGAACTTTCTATGGAGATCTATACTTCCTGAACATTCCTTCGATCAATTATTTTTGGTAGTTTTGGAGTATGACCTAAAATGTCCCAGTTTTCAGAATCTCGTCTAATTTTGCTAGTTTGCCTGGTTTTGCTTCCTAGTGGCCACACTACCACCACAAGTGACATTTTGAATATGACTGACTGAACATGGCTTGCATCCTGGCTGCGTCCCAGGGACATACCAGGCCATTCTCATATCCCGAGCACCAACGCATATAAATGCACATAACTGCGCCCAAAATTACCCGCAAAACGCCCGCAAAAATCCGCAAAACGCCCGCAAAAACCCGCAAACGCCCGCAAATCCAAGAATCTGGTAAATTTGTATAATTTTGGGAGCGCGCAATTAAACAGAAACCAACTTGGATGTGCAGATTGAAAGCACAATACTGGTGAGAAGACTGGGAGGAGGGCCATGCCGATGGGAAACACAGCCATGACATACCACGCCTAACTTTTTTGGGAAACGCTCGATACGACCGTAAATTTGATGAAACGCCTGATTGTGCAAAACGACTGATATTTTTTAGGAGTTGGAAGGCCCAGGTTCATATATCTTGATATGTATCCAAATCTCAGGATTCTGCTCGAAAAAAGCAACCGGCTTGACCGGGTTGACCCCTTAGGAAGCATCCGTTCTATCTAGTGTCAATGGGAATTGATCCTAAAATGGAGGTACTGTACATTACTGTACCATATTGTTGGCCATATTTTGTGGGGATATTCCCGGAAATTTAGGCCTCATATAGGCCTTACATATGGTAGGTACCTCCAATCAATCGGTTCCTGAAATGGCCATTGATCGTATGTGCATTTCACCAAGTTTGGCGAGTTCGCTATTCAGTTCACCAAACCTGTTAACCAACTTAAATAAACATTACTTTTTGACCCTCGGGTACTCAAACAGTTATTTGGGGATATATATATACCCTATTCCAGACACATCCATATTCCATATTTATTTTATATTCATAATATATATATAATATAATTTTAATATATATATATATACTAGTACATATAAAATCCCTGTTGTTTGTGGCCGCAAAGTCCAAAAAGCTGGATATATCTGGAAATCGGGTACCCATGGGTAACCCCAAAATCCCATGGTTGATGATATTTTTTCCCACGATTTTTTTTACATACACAACGGGGTTGATACCAAAAAAACACCCTCAAGAAATCCACAACATGGATATGTTCATGGAGGATTTCTCCATTTTTCCCATGTTCCCCATTGTTTCCATCATATCCCCCATTGATTCCATCCTTTTCCCCCATTGTTCCATGATTTTCCTCATGTTTTCCCAGCGTTTTTGGTCCACAAAAAGCCGTCCCGATGTCGCAACCGCAGCAAGCGACAAAGATGGTCAGCTGGTAGTCCCGATTCGCAGTGATCTCCCTGGGAACACGGAAGCTGCAGATGGAATGTAGGTGTATTAATATGGTTATATTTATGTATATTTGGAATATAGGTATATGTATCGGTGTATAACTATCATGTATTCAGAAATACATTTATATACATATTCTTATATATATATTATAATTTATATATATAATATATCTAAGTTTTTGCAGCTCACTAAACACTTATGATATAATATGATATCTAGAATGATTCCTGGGATGCAAAGAATGGTTTTCGAACTTGCAGGCTTCACAGTGGGATACACCATGAACCCAGTCTGGGGCCTTATAAGGTTCGTTGGCGGGTTTGCTGTGATAGAACTGCTGTTTCAACCCTGACGAACTTATCAATTGCAAAGAACTAAGTTGGGAAGCCAACAAGTACCTGGTAATCCAAAGGTAGAATATGCTTTCAGTTGGAAAAACTGGATTTGTTTGAAGGTGAATATCTAGACACATCCTGGAACAAACAAAATACGGTTGCATCCTGGCCTTTCTGCCATGGCTCTGGGTCTGGGTCAAAATCAGAAGCCGCCAAAAAAATGGATGAAATATGGGCTTGTCAGAAAAATGGGTACAGTACCCCATTCCATCCACTGGTTTATCATCATAGTGCCCTATGAAACAAAAAACCATCGTGGTAGGATCCAATTCACCATTTTGCGACGAAAAAAACTTGTCCCCTATTAAACAAAAAACCATTGGAGATTTGGTAGGTAAATTCACCATTTCGCGACCAAAAAAACTCATGGAGTTGCTTTGGATCCTTGTGTTTCATGCTTGGAAAAAGTCAACATATTTGTTCATGGATCAAATCTCCATTGCTTCATGGTTGCCATATGTCGTTAAATTCCATTCATGGTTGCCATATGTTGTCATAACCATATACATCCGGCTGATGTATTCAAGCTGGAATATTACGCACCATGTATTCACATTCCCATGGCTAAATAGTCCCATTCACATTCCCATTCATAAGGAAACCATCTATAAATTCTGAATATGCCATAACCATCATAGGTCATCTGGAGGTGTCCTAAAATAAAGGTAATTACCCCCAGTTATCATCCATTTTAGATTGGGATTTTCCATGAAATAAACCATCTATTCTGGGGTACCCCCTATTTTAGGAAACCTCCATCTATGCTTCGGCCGCGTCACCGCTCGGAGGCCAAGACGGTGGCGGTCAAGGTGCGCTGCGTGGCATCGATGGACTGCAGCGCCAAGCCGCGCCGAGGGAGGGGCGCAACATAGGTGGTCAAATCAAGGGAAAATCATGGGAAAACCCATGGGAAATTGAAAATCATAGAAAAGCATTGGAAAACTATGGGAACATGATAGGGAAAATCATCTTGTAACTATCTAGATGGTTAGTTGGTGAAATTAGACTTTGTAGGTGCTTAGTATTACATATATTTACTGTCTATGTGTAGATGGATAAATATCTGGTATCGATCGATCGCCTGCAACTTGGTGAGTATCTATTCGCTGCTTGGATCCTGCTGGATTCCAGAGGTACGCAGAGACTATGTGTGGACATATGCATATGTTTGATGGTATCTGCAAAAGATTCTGTGCATGTATACACATATCATTATCAATTATATAGGATAAGGATGGATAAAATGTGTAAAGCACGGCTTAGTGTGAGTCTAAAGAAATCCCCAAATCTTACAACAAAATATTGAGTCATACTCTCGCATTTTCCGAAGTTCTGCAAATGGACAAAGCAATGTGCAAGCGGACAATAGCCGTGTACCAAGCACAGCCCGGTTGCAACAAACCGGTTTGGTTCAAATCCAATACCGTCCATGTATGGCTACCAATGTTTGGCTGATTTTTGGGGCCAATGTCGGGTCGAACATACCATACATCATGATCATCAGGACATAGGGCCATAGGGCAAACTACTACAAATCACAAACTTGGCATAAGCTACAGGATGGCCCCCCCCAGTTGTAAGTGGGTTTATAAACCATGAAATAACAAAACTAGTTCGTGAAATATCTACCATAAACACCATGTTTTTTTCGCCACTGTTAAGGCGCTACGCTTCACGCAACCAACGGGGGCCGTTAAATCCTGTAGAAATCGGTTGGGGATCCCCACGCAAAGCACGTCTGCATCGCCCCAGATCAAGGATGGCCTGAGATCGTCTTCCGAAGTACCAAAGAAAACACAGGATGGGGCCCCCAGGACTAGTACCAAGAAAACACAGTTCATGAAATAACAGTGGCTAGATAAGTTGCCTTCAAAGTGGCGAAAAAACGATGGTTTATGGTAGATGTAACTATAGTTATTGGAGTTTATATATAATGGTTTATAAGCCAACAAACAGAACTATGGGGCCCCATTGGGGCGAATGTGCAAAAACATCGACGATCTCGTGGTCCAAAATGGTGTCTGTTCCCATTCCATATCATCACCTGTGGTGCAAGTGCAGGTATATCATTGCAATGCATTACATTACACAAAAATCACAACCAATTACATACCCTCTGGTAATTTAACAGTTTGCTATTGAACATGGTACATTTATAATACTGTATTTATAGTTGATTTACCCATTAAAGATGAATTCATGTTCCAGTTCGCAAACTGTAAACGTTTACCAGGCCGGGTACACACTGCCGGATCTGAGAAACATCCCATGGTCCCCATAGCATGGTTAGATATCACAAGGTTCTGCCCCCAAGTGGCTTATAGAAACCCATCCAACTGTGTTATAGTGACGTAATATGTTGTAATCACCATGAAGCCTAGTTGAAGCAAGTTGCACGAATCACTAAATCAACGGAGCTCACTATTTTGGCACCATTTGTGACCCTCCAAACATAGATGTGGGAAAAAATGCATTTGTAGATCGTTTCCTAGGCCCCATCGCTTTTCCACAATCTTATGGTTTGCCCCACGGAAAATTTGGGAGATGGGAACACTAAACCTAAACATTAAACAGGGTAAAATATACTATTTCACTAATCTGAATAGTTCGGCCATAAAAGGGGATAATTCCTCTTACTAACCATCATTCCAGTGAGGTCACTGTGAGTTCACAGTGAGGTCACTATAATTATCCCATAATAAAATAATATATGCATATATATATTATAAACTTTATACGACATGTCATTCAGAGATGGACTATATAATAGACTACATATAAGATCATATACTGTAAGATACTGTATCTGTGCATATCAAATCCCGAAACCTTAAAGGATCCCAAATGGATCCCTAGCAGCCGATCACCTGAGCGGGGCCCCCCACGGTCCGATGAAGTTGGGATCTGGCGGAACGTTCAAATCGGCGTTGCCGAAACCTGCGGGGGAAAAAGACGTCGACATCTGGAGAACTGAAGGGTCAAACGATAAACCACAACCATTCATGGATTATCATATATATATATATATGTATTATATATATGATATATATATATATATATGTATTATTTATATAATATATTGTTAAATATGTATGATATTGTATATTATTATATATAAATAGGTCTATAATCCACTGACAAAATTGTAAGTTTGCTACAACATGCTCAACATCATGGTGAAAGTGCCATGGCCGTCAAGTTGTGAGTTCCCCTGGACATCCGCCATGGCAATCCACACATCATTGGCATATAAATGTCTATGAAAATTGTAAGTGATTATATTGATACATTTTCAATCCAAATCTAACCCATCAATATGGAGTACAATATCAAATATGATTATACATATACGGGGTTCCTAAGTCATGGGGTACCCCAAAATCATCCATTTTGATAGGATCTTCCAGCAAATATACCATCCATTTCGGATCATTTTGGGGTACCCCCATTTATGGAATCACTAACCTGAAATAAAGCTACAGTAAATTGAGATCATTCCCCGTATACTAACCATGATTCCAGCGAGGTCACAGTGAGGTCACAGTGAGGTCACAATAATTCTAGCAATACGCATCATTGACATATAAATATCTATGAAAATGTAGTGATGACCAGCCCTCCAAGAACTGGCTTAGCGGCTTACCCAAGTTTTGACCATGGCCCACATGGCACATCTGCTCAGTGATGGACATATCAAGGACGGGCCCAAGGTCACAACATGCCACAACTAAACATGTGATTTCATGAAAAAGACAGGCAGAAACCCCATGGCCATGGGTACACCCTATATTATGCATGTCTTATACCGCTTTTCACTAGCGAAAAAAATGGGGAATCTCGGAATCACCATGTTTGAACAAATCAGCACCTCTCCCAGGGACTTAAGACATCTTAAAACCTGCCGTCGCGGATTTCCCGGAGTCCCAGTCAGTTTGCTACAAGCTAGGCCCACAGCAACGCAATGTTTGAACCAAGTGATACATGTATGTGGGCATACAAAAAATTCAGTTGTTAGATGTACAATCTTCATAGCAAATAGGTTATACAAGTGCCTATAACTGTATGGTAAGATAGGGTGCTGACATAAGTTCTGGCTCATCACCTATTACGATTCGTAGGTAACCCCCCAAGGGCAAGAATCGCCAAGACGGATGAGACATCCATGGGGAACCTGAGAAAACAATATCTATCTGCACATGGGGCTATCTGGCTATTTAAATGTATCTGTATCTACCTGTATATGGGGCTAAATCATGCTAAATCTGTATGGATACAGCGTAGATATTTCTGTATAGATAAGTGAGTAGAACGTGATGGTTTAAGGGTAGCGTGACATTCCCGGCAGTTTAACGGGGAATTTTATCACAGTACATATCCAATCGTATCTACATGGCTTTTTTGGTCTGGAAAGATCAAGGAATTGACCAATCGAATCATTCAGCATTCTTTCAGCATGTCTAGGCCTCAAAAAACACTGCCATCCAAAGATTTTTCCAAAGTACCCTAGTCTTCTTGGCAACCTTACCGCCGGTAACTAGGCCTGGTTACTCGGGGTACATCCAAACATCGACTCAGTCAGATTTCAAGATATTGAAAACGGCTTGGCTTCTGGCACTGGGATCGGCTTTGGATCCCGGGGATCAGCATCCCCTTCTTCCAACGGATGAAAAACATCGACAGTCCACACTCTCTGGTGAAGAATGATTGAAATCTACAGATTTATACAGATTTCTCCTACACGTCCTACACATCGACTTTGCCACAGCCGGAAACGCTGGAAACGCCACAAGTTTCGATAGGTTCAAACTCCCTAGCGAAAATCAAGTGCGATCCCCAGACTAACCAGCATTATCCTGGCGTGTGATCCAGATCAAGAGATCTTTCACCACCAAACAAAATGACCACATAACCTGGAGAAAAAAGCCAAGTTCCAGCCGGGTAGTATAGCTCAAAAATGTATAGCTCCCAGTTTTCAAAACACAGAAAAAAAAACATGATCTGGGTAAATTATAATAATTCACTAACCTGAATTAAGGCCATTTGGGGATGATTTCCCTTACTAACCATGATTTCCAGTGAGGTCGTAGTGAGGTCGTTATAATTTACCCAGATATTATGTGAGCCGTCAAAAAGACACCTACCCCATCTCATGAAATCCTAGGTGGTTGGAAACGGTATCCCAATCCAATGGCTTATCATCCCCAGAAAAAATCAGCTAGCGTAAGTTCCAAGAAAATAGCCAATCAAGCATCATTTTTCAGTTACAGTATATCATTTTATATCTCTATTGTTGATGTTAAACAACAGAATTATAGATTCTATAGATCCTTATAATAACCAATCGACCAAGCTCTAACCTTTAATGGCTCAAGTATTCTTAAGTCACCCTTCACCAGGTCCCGCTGTGAGACTGGCAATCACATGGCTGTCATCATCCTCATCTTGCCAAAGTCCTGGACCATTTGGTGAAGAAAGCCATGGCGAATCGGCCGGCGAATCTTGGCGATCCGAAAGTGTTATACGAAAGCTCCAGATGGAATATCCCCAGCCATTTTTTTTGGTTATATTTGGTTATCAACTTATCAACACTGGGATGCAGATCCATCAAGATCATCAAGCTGCAACCAAATGGGATTTCACCAAGCGAAACATAAGCCATCGATCCCTACAGGGAACCAAGGATCCACGTGTGAGAAGTGAGCGGCAAAGAGCGCGCACCTTAGCAATCAACCATCCCGTGGTTGATAACAATCCCTTCTGGTTTTTGTTGCGAAAGAAAGGTGCTTGAAATAGCTAGGCAAACTGTTGGCTTATGGCTATGCAATATATGAAAGAACTATTGTTAGTTGGGTTTATAATCCAGCTTATATAACTCGGGGCACCACCTTATAGAGTCATATTGTTTGGGGCTAAATGATAGAGTAAATATGTTCCATACATCATTTTAGCGCATGGTCGTTTTGTACTCAATAGATTGCATGTTTTACTGGCGAGTTCGTATACATTGAAGAGGTGCTTCTGAGGGGAACTTGGATCCACTGGGGGTAATGCGGGTATGCAACAAACATACATTTGGCCCTAGGAAACTCGAATAAACTCGTCGTTTTTCATCCGATTTCATGGTCCAACTTTGAATGTATCCTTCAAGTTCGCTGAAATTGCCATCCGGCAGCCAAGTAAGTTAAATCATCATCAAACCGGCCCTTCAACTAGTAAGTCACCTTGTACTGGCTGGTTCATTGCGTTATTGTCAGCAAAACCCATCATGTCTAGTGATATTCCCATGATATCTTCCCCCCTGGCTGAAGTATAGTACTTCACAAACTATTTGTTCAAGCTTTAAGGCTTCTCCATCTTTTCTGGTGACCGATCGAGCTATGCCGTGCAGCGTCCTACTGTTGTGTGATCCATGACAATGTCCCACTAGTTTCTGTTGGGAAACAACAACTCGAGGAGAAGGCTCATCCCAAAATTTCAATTTTGGTCGAACATCTCCAATGATCATTGATTATATGAACATGATGTGCAACCAGCATTCATATAAACAATTTCTGGTTGGTGGTTTCAACCCCTCTGAAAAATATTAGTCGGTTGGGATTATTATTCCCAATATATGGACAAATAAAAAATGTTCCAAACCACCAACCAGATTTAGACATGCTTCCTCGGGTCCTCCACAAGAATATGGTCATGTTTTGCTTATTTTTTCCCATGATTTCCCACTTGGGATGTTCTTCCGAATTCGTCCAGGAAACTCGGGCAGTTCGTCCTGTTCAGTTGCCTGGCGTTATGTACTGGGTTAACGGGATTCCCATGTCATGGATTATGATCATCCCCAATACAGTAGGTATACTATAACCTACTGTGGATGGTTGCGAAATCCTGCACCAGTTGATAGATAGGTTGTTTATCCCATTATTTATAGGGTTTCAAGCATCCGTTTGGTGGTGCAGGATTTCGCTGGCCCATCCACCGTATGATAATCAACAACTAGGGGTCTTGAGCCCTGCTCTGGACGATTAGCTGAGACGTGACACTTGGAATTCTGGTGCAATCTTTCATGTTAGGCAATGTATGGTGATTTACCAGCACATATTTCGATAAATACTATATTCACTTCTATGGTTATATTTTTATCAATATCATCAATGATCACATAATACCACAATAGCTCAAACTGGTAGATCATAAAAACTATAGCTGGCTTAAATACAATTACTTGGATGTGTATATATATATATATGTATTTATTTTTTACCGGTGATATCCCCGGTGACATCCACAGGGTGGTTTTCCACAAATCCTGGCTATGGGGCACTGAGGGACTCTATGATGACAGCTGTAGAGGGGGATGTGACCGTATGACTACTAAAATATAACTAGTCATACATCGGTAGCACCCTATCTTCGTAGGATTTGACTCTTTTAATGGGGTGCTAAGGGAAAATATCCTACGAACAGCTCGGCAAGTTCAACATGTTCCATTTTGTTCGGTGGTTTGCTGGGTGAACCAAGTGGAATTGACGTTGTTAAAATCGTTTTAAGTTTTAGGTGCTGCTGCATAACTGGGAGACAATGGGAAAGAACTCAGCTCCTAACATTGTACGATGGTATGATATCCGAATTGTTACTAACTACTTAAACATCAGCATGGAAAACCAAACATGCCAATCAATTCCATGCGTAGCCTCGCAGTCTCGCAGGCACACAATTCTGTGGGGTTCAAGCGTTTTTTCTTTGAGGGGTAGCTGCAAGAATCAATGAACCTGGTTGAGCTTGTGATGATCTGACGTCTGTGGTAGCTACGACATGTCTGGTTCTCACCTTTTCAAACTCCTGACATCCCACGGTCCCACGGCAACTGGTTGGGCCATGAGATGAAAATCAAGGCTGTCCATTCAGGGATAATAGGATGACTGGGGCCCCATTTCAGGACACCTCCATATGCCGTGTAACTTATATGTCATTTGCCTCAGTTGCCATCCCACCATCGTATGGATAGGAAAATCGCAGGCCATCGCCAAAAAATTGGTTGGTGACAAAAACCTACCCCTCTGAAAAATATGAGTTCGTCAATCAGGATTATTAATCCCAACCCATAGGATCCATGTATGGTATATATGCTAACATTTGGGGTATATTGATGGTAAATGTTACCATATATATAGCATACATGGATACTATGGGCAATATTATATGGACAAAATTGGACAAATAAATTTCATGTTCCAGTCACCACCAACCAGATTTAGACATGCGTTTCTCAGTGGCGCCTCCAAGAGGCAACAAACACTGCACTCCAAACTCTTCACATGTCGCCTGGGAAGCGGCGGAAGCGCCCCATGTGTGACCTGTGTCAGGGTGGTCTGAGACTAGGAGATGGTGATGATCATCAGTGATAGTGATATGTTGATATAACGCAAAAAAAAATGAATACACGTCAGTACACATAATCTATGATGATAATACCACTAATTATTACTATAGGATGATTAAACCATGTTGAACATGATTAAACCACCACATAAATTACAATTGCATATTACCATAACACTGGGTAAATTATAATATTTCACTGACCTGAATTAAGGTCATCTGGGGATGATTTCCCTTATTAACCATGATTCCAGTGAGGTCGCAGTGAGGTCGTTGTAGTTTACCCAGATAACAAACATTACCCTCTGGTAAATTAACATAGACCCTACCAAATAGGGCTTTAAAAATTAATTTCCACTAAAAATTAGTGATTTTCAGGGTCTATGTTAATTTACCAGAGGGTATATAATGGTTTAATATAGGATGATTAAACCATATTCAGCCAAGCGGCAACACCATTCCCGTGACCTGGGCCGCGCAAAATTTTTGTGCGGCTCGGTTTCGTGCTCGTGTCTTCCCAGACCGAAATAGCGAGGTCATACATGGCCTATAATTGGTTTATATTTCTATATATGTGTAGTGTAATATAACTGTATATATATATATATATATGTATATAACTGTATATATATATATATGTATCTGTAATTATATATAACTGTATATATATATATATATATATCATCATACAATATTATATCACATTAGAAAGAACTATATAACACTATATAACATTATATAACACTATAAAACATTAAATCACATTACAGAAGATAACATCATAAACCATTCCATGCCATTATATAACATTAAGACAACATATAACATTGAAACAAAAACATTATAACACACTATAAAACATTAAATCACATTAGATATGTTTTTCTTACATGTTTACATATGTAACATTAGATAACATCATATCATTTTTAAGAATATAACATTGATAACTTTATATATCATTATATAACATTATATAAGATTATATCACATCAAAACATGTATAACATTTGAACACATTATATAACATTGAATCACATTGGATAACACTATAACACATTAAACATAATTATCTAACATTAAAAACATATAATTTTTAATAACATTACAAAACATCAGAAAACATTATGTAGCATTAAAAAAACATTCTATCACATTAAATAACATTAGATAACATTTTAAACCGATATATAACATTATAACATTATAAAACAATATATACATTCATATTTCATGATATAGGGTTATAAAACATGTTGAACCATTATATACTATCAAATCACATTAGATACCTTTTTTTAAACAAAACAACATTGTAACATCTAACATTATATAACAGTATATAGCATTATATATCATTGTATAACATTATATCAGTTAGACAACATTACTAATATTGAATCACATTAGATAACATTATATAACATTAAATCACATTACATAACATTATATAACACCCAGTTCCAGGAATTAGGAGGTATATAACCACAATTTAAAACTGGTATGGGCCATAACTGCATCCCTGAAAAAGGCAAAAAAATGCCTGAAATGGGACGAATATCTTAGAATCTATCGATATCTATCGTCTATCGCTAGACACAATCCATGCAAATAAGGTGGAAGAAAGAAATACAGCAGGGTTCAAGTTTCAAATCACTTCTTGGCTTGGTACGGTACACCCTTTGGCAACTTCGTGGAGTTCTGCATCGAGAAACATCATTTGCCAACAGTAGAGGAAACTACTGGGAAATCACTGAGGATTTCTTTGGGCTTGAGGCTTTTCTTGAGGTATATAACGCTTCTACCTGATTCTAACATGTTTGGGTCAAGGGGAATCAGCTAAACTCTTTGGCTTGATGTTTTTTGATGGGTTTCCAACCCACAGATGTGTTTGGCCTCAATCATAGGACACTGCCTTTAGGATTTCCGAATGGACGGCAGTGCCCACCATGGCCCAGCATGTTTCATGACATCTCTGCCTGGGGCAGTTTTCCCGTTTTCAGTTTTCACAAGTCTTATGGACGGAAGCCGTGACAAACCTACCTTCATGAAATGCACATAACTCTGACCCTGTCAAAACATCCTAGAACAGTTGTTTAGTTGGAGGATAATCACCTATAAATGGATTAACTTTGGCAATGAACAGCAGTTGTTTGGTTTGATCACCAGTTGGTGGGGCCTTCCCCACGTAGAAGTCTGTACGAGTTCGGCGTGTGCCGACTCGGTCAAAAACCGGGATTCCAGAGAGTAGTTTAGGATATACCTTCATTGTAAATAAACACATCCAGAAATCAGTATTATCATATATATAAATATATATGTAATTAAATTATATATACAGTTTCCTACTTGGGGGTGGATCTCACTTAGTCAATGGGTTGTACCCCCAGATATCTACTGAATATCCCCCCCATATTCCCCATATATATATATATATATATATATGGGCTATATTATATTATACATGGATTATAAGCCACTTATATACTTAGTGGGATGCACATCCGGGTAAAGTGAAGGTCAAGCAAGAAAAGGAACTTTTGAAAAGATAGTGAACCCATCAAGCCCCCGTCTGGTTCAGTGCTCGGAAATGCAGTGCCCAGTGCCGGTGAAGTGAGTGGATATATTGCCACAGTTAGATGATGTTATGTGTTATCATGGCCAATCAGTCAGATACCCTGCAAAAAAAAAAAACTTAGCTGGTTAGTATATAGATCATCCATGATAATCCCATACAATGTGAGGCCCCACAGTTATAAGTTTAGATTCGCCCCAGTAACTAGTTCGTTATTTGCGTACCATAAACCATAGTGAAATTGGAGTTATTTGCACCAAGTGAACGCTATCGAACGGGGGCCTCACATTGTATCATTCCATATAATTCCATATAATTCACCATTGATTCACCATTGATTCACCATTATTAACCATTATTAACCATTATTAACCATTAGACTATAGCAGGATTCGTTTCTACCCATCCAGCTATGAATTGACGGTGAACTCACCTTTTTTTAGACCCCGAGGTCATGCGCTTTCTTTTTGCAGGTCTCAAAGACCACAATTTTTCGATGGACAAACCACCGAAAAATGGAGGTCTTATGGGAAAATCAACTGTAAATGCTGCTTATTGAAGATGTTTGTAGCTGGGAAAATCACCGAACTAAATGGAGATATTAATCGACGAACTACATGGAGATATTAATCACCTATGGTTTCTAGCTGGGAAAATCATCTCTTTTTGTGGAGGTTTCTAGCTGGGAAAATTTAAAAAAATAACTGGTGGTTTTCATGGGAAATCACCGAACTAAATGGAGGTTTTTTCATGAGAAAAAACATCTGGTGATTTTCGCCACTGAGAGCCCCACCATTTCTTCATAACCACCACCTTTGCCACCGTTGGTGACCTTTAAAAAAGGGACGTGGCAGGACTCAGTGGGTATAAGTAGCCAATTACATGGAAAATGGCCCATAGAAATAGATGGTTTACCTGGGTTTACCTATGAAAAATGGTGATTTTCCATGGCTATGTTAAATAACCAGATGGTATAGACTAAATGAGTATCTAGTCTAAATGGGTCAAGTGAAATCGATTGTTCAATGGTTGCAATATGATGAATAGTGGCAAATAATTGATGTTCAACCAATTGAACAATAAACGTTCAACGAGTTCACTTGATATACTTGGAATATAAAACAGGGAAACATAATATACAATGCAAACATGGCGATATCAAAAAAAACAATGATGGTGATTTGACAGAACAAGAATGGGGTAATGGTATCTGCAACAAACAATCAATGACCGTCGTTACTGGCATAGGATATCACTGATATCACGTATACCAAGAGTGGATGGGGGTCAAACCAATCGAGTGTCATAATTTAGCTTATCTATGTATTATGTATGCTTTATGTTTGATCCTTCACACTTTGTTGTGTTTTGCTCACTATGTAATGAACAGAACATATAATATTAATAGTATTCTTAATATGGTTTTAGTATCATGTGTTTTTATCATTATGAAGTGACATAATTGCCGCGGAGACCAAAGGCCAACAGCACTTGGATGTTGTACCTCTTGGATTTGTGTTCTAGGCTTGTCATAGATGGCTGTTTCCCAAAATGTGGAGGAACCTCAAAACCATAGCTATTTTTCACGTGGCTAATAAAAAATGTTTGAAACCACCAACCAGAAACCCTTTCAAACACAAAAGTGCTGTTGCACGTTTCCAATTTCCATGCTGATCTCATAGCAGCGCATTTCCACAACCTTCGAGTCACACTGCAGCTGAGGTAAAAGTTTGCCAAGAAACTTCGAAATATGGCAACCTCATATCTGCAAAGTACCCTCTGGAAAGCTATGGCATTTCATCATTTTCGATTGCTAATGACTATGGGCCCTGGGTAATTCCGTGAACTAAATGGTCTATTTTCCATGTAACAAATGTCTGGAGGGAAACTCAACTATCTTTGGAGAGCAGGTCCATATCTTCCTCCTGTTTTGGTGGCTGCAATCTATTGAACAAAAGCGGGATCTGTTTGTAGGTTCCCCCACATCCATGGTAATCTCAATGTAGTCCTCAGGCACGTAGTAACTGGCCTCATGGCAGTGATGTGGAAATCAGCCAGCAGCAAGGGGATTATGGATGAGGATAGCATGACGAGACATGTCGATGTTGAATTTCCTATTCTTACATACTATGAGTAAACAAAAGGTACACATAGCTTGAGAAATGGAAACAAAAATGTATAGATAAAACCGTGTATATATATATAAAGTTGCATCTGAATAGTTTCTAGTCAACGTTAGGTACACAAACACCACATCGATTTCTGGGACCTTCCAGTTGCATGGATCATGGACGGAGAACCAAAGCATTCGCTCCACATCAAGACGATCATCGAGGTAACTGGCATTTCACGCATCCAACAGATATAAACATTGCCAAATGTACTGCTAACTATATAAATCTTGTGAGCATTGCATGATTATCATGATTGTATATGCTGAATTTACATGAATTTACATTATGTCATTTCGCATCCTCAAAAAAAAAGGTGATGTTCGTTTCAAGAACAACACGGTTTCAATGGCCGGTGCGTCATTTCCACCGTACCCAAAATCCGGTGGCAAAAAGTTCATTCCCATGAATGGCTTCAGGTTTCCCCATTTTGCACAGCAAGATTGGACATATAGGGATCAAATATATATATATATGAGTATATCTAGAAAAATGAACATGTATATATATATAATAATAATATATATATATATATAATTATATGTATAAATGAGTATCTAATATCCCCATTTTTATAACTCATTAAACCACCGTTATTTCATGGTTAAGGCACCATTTTACCCATCTGAAATTCCCAGGGCCACCGCAAAAAAACTGCTACGTTTCTGCGGTACATCCCTGCTCCCATGACAGACAGACCCAGCCCCAGCCATCAAGATCTATCTGACCATCGCCCAGCTCAAAATGTTGATGCGTTAAACGATATGTTTACTCTCTGGCAAAAAAAAAACACATCGTTATGGAAAATGGAACATTTGTAGATTGTGTATGATTATAATCTGATTATGTATGATCGTTTAGATATCAAACATGGTGATTTTCCTTAGCTACTCTAAATTACCAAAGGGTCCATAGTTCATTTATCTTGAAGTCCGTGGTTGCTGCCCGCACAGTGTCTGATTCCGGCCAACCATGCTAAACGCTAGCCTCCGAAACGATCGCTTATCCTACCAGGTGATTATGTGACCATGCTTGTTGTATTGGGCTCAAGTTGGGAACCAAACCTAAGTCAGTAGCAATTTGAAGCGAATGATCCTACATGACAAGATGGACACATTGCCAACTGCCATGTGTCACCCAAAAAAAGGTTTTGGATGCAAACGTCTAGATTCCCTACGTCTTTTTCGGTGCTCAAAGGGTGATTTTTTGTCATCCCAGCTGTATTCCGAGCTGCCATGGAGAGTTTCTTGCCGATCAGGGTGGGTTTTTTGATGGCCACCTTCTTCAGCACCTCACAAAAGGAATAAAACAAAAACCACCAGAAAATCCACAACAAGTGAGACGACCGTTGTAAGACTTTGGAGAAAACAATATGTAACAAGTAGGACTTTTTAATTGACATGTGTTATTGATTATATTTTGATATCATTGGTAGTTTCGTTCTGCATGAATTTAGAGGTACACATATGTCGAAACATGTGCGAGTATAGAAGAAACACCAGAAGAGGGCAACCAGTCTATAGAGGCGTTTTTTTTTGTGCAGGAAACAAACAATTACACAATATCAAGTAACATTAATATAATATAATATAGGTTGCAGTGCAACATTGGTTATATGCAGCTAGAAACCTTAAGTTATTGGCCATCTTTAGTTCCGGAAAATCGATTCATGGGTGATGACACCACAGGGTACTGCATGTCACAAAGTTGTTGTTTGTTGCATCCTATAATATATCCCCATCAAATCCCCATGATCCATCCCAATTCTATCTCCATTCTCCCGATATGATGGGCTCCAACTATAGTTACATCCCAAAAACATCCACACTATATATCCCCATTTTCCCATATGTTCCCTACTTCAATCTTCATCAGCTTTCAGAAAAACAGAAGGTCAACAACATAACAACCACCAGTGGCGACTCCGCGACGGCTTGGAAAGTCTCCATAGGGCGCCAAGCCCATGGTCCCACTTCCACAGAGAAGATGACTTTCAGCTTGGCTTTACGTTCCTGCGCAGACGAAGATGATCGGATCCCATGGAATTTCCCAAGCTGGTTGAACTACCCATAACCTAAGTTGGTCCAGATCGTGGTTATGTATAAATGAGCAAAAAATCATCCATTATCCTCTGGTAAACATACAAATAGCTATATAATATATATATATATGTATATATATAGAGAGAAGCCATGGCCCATTTAGTTCGTTCTTCTACCTATGAAAGATGGTGATTTTCCAGTTCGCTATGTAAACGTTTACCAGAGGGTATCCACGAAGCAAACAAGATCTAACAAAATGGCTGGCACCCGCCATGTTCTCACGAGGTTTGTCAATGGTTTTTCCGTGTTCTCACGAGGATAGAAAATAAAATTACCGAATCAACATCCACAAACCAATTAGATTCAAGCACTATAACATCCTTAATCCATTAATCATCATTATAATTAATTGGTACCATATATATATATGAATATTATTAATAATATCATTAATCACATGACTCATCCCTAATCACATAGCCATATGCGAACCATGGTGCTGGTAAACCAAAACACCTACAAAACCGGGTGATTTTCTGATTCCTCGCTGTCGGCGGCCAGGAAACGGCGCCAAACTAAACCCTTCCGGCGAAGCGACGCGAACGATTGAGTTTGGGGTGAATCACCGGCGTGAAGAAAGGCGTGGTTTAGGATGGTTTTTCATCAACCCTTTGTATTTTATGGGGTACACTGTACCTTAATATTAGGATCGAGTAGGGATTGGGTAATTTTATTACTCAAGGATCTGAGAATCGCCTAGAAAAAGGTAAGTACCTAGCTCTTTGTTAATGTTGATACTTTTATTTGAGAGGGTTCCAAAACATGGATCTAGAAATGGGGAGACTTGGCAATCATTGGGGGAATTCAGCGTCTAAACGATGTATCCTTTAGTTATATGTGTGTAGCCTATGAACAAGCAAAAAAGGTGGCTTTCATTTACATACAAAAAGCATTGGTGAGATCAATCAACCAACGTGCTGATCACCCTTGTTGATGCTGGGGTAGTTCAACAACAAGGGGAACTGAATCAAGGTAGTTGCTGGTAGCCAGAGTATGTTCCCAAAGCCCTGCAATTGTGTAATGACAATGCAATTGAAAACAGATACGCTGGTGCAGATGCAACTTAAATGAATAGGCAAAACTGGTGAACCCAGAAAATCAATCAATATACCCTCTGGTAATTTAACATAGCTATGGAAAATCACCATTTTTAATGGGAAAATCCACTATTTCTATGGCCATTTTCAATAGCTATGTTAGTTTACCAGAGGGTATCAATCATGTTGAAGCTAGACAGGTACCCATCCGGAGCCGAAACCAGCTACTCGAACTGAGAACCAGCTGGGAACCGCAGCGAGACCTCCATCTCCAAATGTTCGATGGTCAAACCATGGGATTAATGTGGTATGGTCATGCTCTCATCAGTAGAATTTCCTTAGAATCTGTGTATAAATCTCAAGAATGGTTTGATGATGTTTGATGATGATCCCCCAATTAATGGCTGTATAGTATATCATATGCATCTTTTGAAAGTAGTTGACCTATATATCCCATTCAATCCCCATGATTTCCCAATATTCCCCATTCATATGGCTTTTGACCAACTTCCGACCAGGGCACAGACATCATGTGGTTGTTGCTAGTTAAGAAGTGTATTCAGATTCACCCTTAAACCAAGAAGGTCAATGGTGGCTTTTATATAAGTCCAAGAAGCTTGACATTGAAAACCACCACCTTTTGAACCACATCTACCATTGGGCGAATCTGAAAAACATCTACCATTGGACCATTGGTCACCTGGGGGGTCTTGGTTCAATCCCCAAACCCCATGCATCCTCATGAAATATCACCATTCTTGTTGCTGAAGTTCCAAGAACAAGTTGGTGATGTATCCCTTTGGGGTTATCCCATTCTCAGACCCTATATATATATATGTATATATATATACGTATATTACCATCTGGTTATTTAACATAGCCATGGAAAATCACCATTTTTAATAGGTAAACCATCTATAAATGGGCCATTTCCCATGGCTATCCCCATGGCTGGTTTTATATCACCGGCCCCAAACTTTGGGATCTCCACCTCTATTCCCTGCCTGCGGGCACATGTCGTTTTGTAGCCAGGCGGCAGCAGGATCTAAGGCGGCAGTCAAAACGGCCTGCCAGACATGAAGCGTACACCAGCAAGAGACCCCAAACAGTGGTGGGCGGTACAGGATGGGGCCTCCAAGGTAATGTTTGTTGGTTTATAAACCATGATAACCCCCATTAACTAGTTCGTTATATCTAGCATAAACCATAGAATTCAGCCACTTATAAGGCAACGGTTCACGCTATCCAACGGGGGCCCCATCCTGTAGGAAATCAATGATTTCAATACACACTGTTTGGGGCAACATGGTGTGTACTGACTAAGTTCTTCTGGAACTATTGGGATGATTCTTGAATGGTTGGACTTTGCCAAAGTGCTTGGAAATATGGTTGGTAAAATGTGATGCAATGCTAATAAATTTTCATAAATCCGTCGCGACAATGGTGGGATTTCAGCAGCATCGATGGTGGGATCGAAAAAATTGCATCGAAGCTTTTTGATTGGAGGGAAACCAACCGTTGGGCATATGTGTTTTTCTGCTTGGTGGTATACCAACCCCTCTGAAAAATATGAAATATGAGTTCGTCAGTTGGGATGATGAAATTCCCAATATGATGGGAAAAACGAAACATGTTCCAAACCACCAAGCAGTTTTATATCATCTCCGCTTGGGGATAGTTGGAATCCTGGTGTGTGGATCGGTGATGGACATCCTGACTTTTGGACATAAACTGGGTATATCAAGCTGAGGAACAACAGCTGCACATGCTATGTGATGCGAATGTAATGATTCAATCAGTAGACCCGAAAGCTTATCCTCTGGTGATCCTCTGGTAATGACTGTTACACTTTGCGAACTTGAAAATTGCCATAGAAATAGTTGATTCACCCATTAATAATATAGGGCTTTTCCATAGTTATGTTCGTTTACTCTAGAGGGTATCCAATCATACTTCAAGGAACATCGCAGTGTAGTGCCCGGGCACAAACATCATACTGCACACTGGTGAGGACAATCTCCTGGTAAAAAAAAAGGATCATTGAAGCCTCGAAAGTGCGACAATCCCAAATGTACAGGAGTTATCACCCAAGTTACTTACCACTGAAAATCCTCAAAGAGCTATGATCCTCAACAAAATTACAAAAACACAACTCCAAACTCCAAACATCAGCTAAGCAATGTTCAAAATCCCTCTATCATTCCATTGAATCCTGGCTGGTTTAGAACAGGATTCCCCATTTTTGGATTATAAAATAATCCCCAATATAATTATTGGGTAGTTGTTGATCCCCCAACAAATCATCAACCCTGCCAGGGGTTCCGTCTCGCTCCGTCCTGGTAAGGTGGGAGGACCAGGTTCCAAATCCACAGAAAGCGTGCGTCGCCTTGCCGTCTCAGCGCCTGGCATGGTTTCAATACAGAAATGGTCGACCTAACGACTTGGATGGGGTACCTCCATAGGACAACTCCATTAGACAACAAAAAAAAACAAAGAAACACATGACAAAAAGTTATGTAGACTCTCCGAAAGATCTCCAAGAACATAAAAAAAAAACAACGTTTCTGGACAATCTATCCAGCCAGTTGATGCCAGTTGTACGTTTGATTTGCAAATCAATATGACCGTCAATATATACACCCACAGCAATCTCTAGGTGACCTAGTCACAAACCGACCGAGCTATACCTTAGGCTTCAAAACATGGAATAACAACGGTTTATGGTACATATATCTACAGTTGGAGACAAGAACCAATATGCAAATACTAGGCGGCACCACATTGTATCAATTCAGTATCCAAGATTGATACTTATATATATATATATATGTACATATATAATATAATCTATTCAATGTTGTCTCAAAGTGGGCACTGCAAAATCCTCAAATGCACCCATGTTGTGGCCCATTTCGGCTGGAAAAGCTGCGACTGGGAGATTCCCAAGTTTGAACATGTTTTCTTCGAACCATCTTGAGTCCGTTCCCGGTGTAGGATATGGCGTCCATTGTCAACCTTTGCCAAGCGTAGCTTCGATTCATGGAAGATGTATACCCTCTGGTAAACTAACATAACTATAGAAAAAAACATGTTTAATAGGTAAACCATCTATAAATGGACCATTTTCCATAGCTATGTTAGTTTACCAGAGGGTATATTTTTTTTCCAGAAATAATTGGATTGACCAAAAACGGTAACCCAAATGCAAATGTTTGCCGTAACATGGGGTAAATCCCCTAAGGCTAACCCCGCGTGCCGGGACCTGGTAGGAAAAATCCGAATGCTTTGCCTCGCAGCGGATAGAGGGGGGCCGTAGATGACAATGTTATACAGTTGGTGGCATTTATTTGTTGATTTCCGTGCCTACACAAACACATCTAATCACATATAATTATATGTTTGTCTATATATAAGTATATATAATATTATAATATAATCACAATATATTATAAATATACACATTCGCCACATGAATAAATACATACATCGACATCTTCACAGCGTATCCGTCTGTTCTTTTCTACCCATCTGTGGCTTCAAAATCACCAACCAAGCCAATTTTCAGCGGCGGATCTCCTAGTTGTCTTGGTATCACTTAATGATTCCAAATGTGAATTTTGGACTGCTACTTATGATAATGATCCCCATTCAATTCAACCAGCCAGTACAACCCTGTATGTGTTTAATATTGTTTAATGACTACATACCCGAAATATTGCCCATAACCCCAAAATACAAGGTGGTGCCCCATAGTTGATACTGGTAAGTAGGTTAAGTAGGGCTTATAGTATAGTGTATATATATATATATCCCTGAGGATCCAAAGTATGGACTATTTGCATGCATTTGGGTATGCACGCTCTCAGAGCGTCCGACCATGCTATTTGCGATCTGACCATGATTTTTGCATGCATTTCCGCAACTTTCTTTCCGATTAATTTCCGATAAATTCCGACAGTTTTTTGGGTGTAACCGCTGACCTTATCACGGATTTGTCACGGTCTGTCACTGTGTTTTCCGACAATGCCCAAGATTTAAGCATAGTTTTTAGCTTCTGTCACGGTCTGTCACGGCTTGTCACGCAACTGTTAGGCAATTTAAAGCGAACTTGAGAGGGGGAACACGAAAGGTAGGTAAGCAAGAAAGGAACCGAAGAAAAAATGAAGGGGAGAGGGGAGGGAAAAATACATAAAGTGGAGTCTGGTAAAAGCGACGCGGCCATTTTCTTTCCAAAAATATGAAGGGGAGTCTGGTAAAAGCGACTGAAAGGCTTCGGCGATGTGGTTGGGGTTGGTGGTGGTTGTGGTGTTGGTGGTGTTGGTGGTGCTGGTGGTGTTGGTGTTGTTGGTGTTGTTGGTATTGGTGTTGTTGGTGTTGTTGGTGGTGGTAGTGTTTCTGGTGTTGTTAGTGTTGTTAGTGTTGTTGGTGTGGTTGGGTTTGTTGGTGGTGTTGGTGTTGTTGGTCGTGTTGTTGGTGTTGGTATTGTTCGTGTTCGTGTTGTTGTTGTTGTTGCTGTTGCTGTTGTTGTTGTTGCTGCTGCTGCTGTTGATGGTGTTGTTGTTGTTGTTGTTGTTGTGTGTTGTTGTGTGTTGTTGTGTGTTGTTGTGTGTTGTTGTGTGTTGTTGTGTGTTGTTGTGTGTTGTTGTGTGTTGTTGTGTGTTGTTGTGTGTTGTTGTGTGTTGTGTGTTGTTGTGTGTTGTTGTGTGTTGTTGTGTGTTGTTGTGTGTTGTTGTGTGTTGTTGTGTGTTGTTGTGTGTTGTTGTGTTGTTGTGTGTTGTTGTGTGTTGTTGTGTGTTGTTGTGTGTTGTTGTGTGTTGTTGTGTGTTGTTGTGTGTTGTTGTGTGTTGTGTGTGTTGTTGTGTGTTGTTGTGTGTTGTTGTGTGTTGTTGTGTGTTGTTGTGTGTTGTTGTGTGTTGTTGTGTGTTGTTGTGTGTTGTTGTGTGTTGTTGTGTGTTGTTGTGTGTTGTTGTGTGTTGTTGTGTGTTTTTGTGTGTTGTTGTGTGTTGTTGTGTGTTGTTGTGTGTTGTGTGTGTGTGTGTTGTTGTGTGTGTGTTGTGTGTTGTTGTGTGTTGTTGTGTGTTGTTGTGTGTTGTTGTTGTTGTGTTGTGTGTGTTGTTGTGTGTTGTGTGTGTTGTTGTGTGTTGTGTGTGTTGTTGTGTGTTGTTGTGTGTTGTTGTTGTGTTGTTGTGTGTTGTTGTGTGTTGTGTGTGTGTTGTTGTGTGTGTTGTGTGTTGTTGTGTGTGTTGTGTGTGTTGTTGTGTGTTGTGTGTGTGTTGTGTGTTGTTGTGTGTTGTGCGTTGTGCGTTGTGCGTTGTGCGTTGTGCGTTGTGCATTGTGCATTGTGCGTTGTGCGTTGTGGGTTGTGCGTTGTGCGTTGTGCGTTGTTTGTGCGTTGTTGTTGTTGGTTGTTGTTGTTGTTGTTGTTGTCGTCGTGTTGTTGTTGCTGTTGCTGTTGCTGTTGGTGTTGTTGTTGTTGGTGTTGGTGTTACCCCTGCAGCGTTTTTGCTCGGTTCCGTAGTGGCCGAAAATCGTCAAATCGGTGGTGTTTTCGCGTGTTTTTGCAACTCTCGGAGCAAAAAACACCGTAAATACCGATGTTTTTGGCGGGTCGGAAGCCCAAAACCACGGTATTTACGATGTTTTTTGCCTCTGGTAGTAAAAAGCACGGTATTTACAGTGTTTTTTGGCCAGCACCTAGCAAAAACACTGGTATTTACGGAGGTTTCACCATGTAGCAAAATGTGGTTTCTTGATCCGAAAAGAACAAAAATACTGTAAATTACAATGTTTTGAGTCTGCTCTTAGGGTGCGTGGGAGGTGTGGAGGGGGGGGGTACTAAAATGACTAGCAATCTCCTGAAGAATCAGGTAACGGGGCTGGCCGCCCTCCCCTTTACTTCGTAAAGTAAAACTCAAGGTAGCCCCTCTGGAGCTACCTTTCGTGATATGAACCGTTTTCCGATGTAATATAATTTCCGACTATCACATTTCGACAATGCAGGCGCTATTTGCGATCATGAGAAATGACGTCATTAGTTGCATGCATTTCCGATTTGACCCTATTTATGTGCATGGATCCTCAGGGTATATATAAACCTATAGTTAGATTGGTTCAAAAAAAACGTTAAACAACCGACAAATCTGACTGGGTGGCAACACTTTCTAGCTGGTGACGTTCCATGCATAACCAACCCAGTTATAAGTTGGTGTGTAAACCCCAACTATAGATATGTACGAGTACCACAATCATAGAGAAACGGGTCATAAACCAGCTAATAGCGAAGAAAAACGGCGGTATCATTTTGGAACCAACCCTCCGGTAAACAAAAACATCACCTTTTGGAAAAATCCCCCCCATTTCTAGATGATGTGTTCCGTGAACACGTCCGCTGTAGTTGATTTCCCAGCTGGCCATGCTTGCCGGAGGGTGATCATAATTGTCCCCATTATTGATATATACATATAATGTCAACCCTGGATTAATAAACCCCTAGATTGTTCAATTGGGAGGGTACCATTTAAGTATCATATTATGACTATTGGAGGAGTACCCCCCTAATTAATAAACAATGGTTTATTAATCCGGGGTTGACATTAAGTATATTCCCGCGATGTCCCCAGTATTACCATGTATTACCCATTATATCCCCATCACATCCCCAAATATTCCCCCATGTTCATCCCCATGATATCCCCATTGCATTCCCATTGTATGCCACTATACCACTCTTTTTGCTGGTTGATTCCCATTAAATCACCGTTAAATCCACACTATTTATTTTTCTATAAATCAAATCATGAAAATCACCACCATTCCCATGATATCTCCATTGAATCCTTTGAAAACAATGAAATGACAGGATTTCCGACACCTGGCTTTCCGAGTGACGGATTCAAAGATAGGCCCCAGAGCGCCGATGCGACTCACGTCAACGTCGATGAGTTCCAGCATGGCTGGACCTCGTTCCGTCCCCAAGTGATATTAGGTTGTATCTTGTTTGGAAAGCAAAAACCATTTGGTGAAATCGTGACAGATATATCTATATGTATATATATATATAATTAAAGAATAAATTTATATATATAATAGTATATATATAAATATAATAGCATGTATATATATATAATAGTATGTATATATATATACATAAAGGCAACAATTTTAGAGAATGCATTACACACATATATATATATACATATGTATATATGCATTAAATTGAGAACTGATATTGGTTAAGAATGGTTAAGACATGTTTTTATATATATATATATATACCTGGAAACTCTAAGGTGCCACTTTTTTTGGCCATTTGGCCAGAATGGACCGTTAGGCGGAACTCAACGTGAATGGGCGGAATTGAGTCGATTTGGTCCAAACTTGGTTTTCGGGAATATCACAGGATTTCGCAGCCATTTCTTGAAATGTCTTTAGTGAACCTGGCCTTCTTTTCTGGGAAACCTACTTGAAACCTCTGGTGCGCCCACCCTGCAGCTTGCAGAGTTTGTGTGGGCAGTTGGAAGCAATTTTCTTTTGCATCAGCAATCACCAGCTCATGTGCAGCTCCCTGGCTCCACATCAAAAACAAAATACTTCAGATTTTCCCATAGTCTAGTTTGAGATGGCCCTCCGTGACTGCAGCAAAGAGATGATTGCCCGACTGAAAGTCACAGGACCAAGCCGTTCTACAACTTCATTTGGTTTGACTTGCTTTCCAACTTCTTATTCCCACCTCCTTTTCATTCCCGGGTCGCGAGGACTCGCGGACATGCCAGAGCCTTTCTGGAACGAAGTGCGTAAGCTCCTTTTCTCCGATTGTGAGACGAAACAGGACTGGTCACTAGTTGCAGTCATGGCACCAAATCCCAACACAGCTACCCTGACCAAAGTAAAAGCCTCACGCAACAGGAAAATTTTGATGATGAGTTTTTCGAGCATGTTCTGAAGAACTATGAGCAGCATGGGGCGGTGCATCGACTGGCACATGCCTACCAGTTCTGCTGCTTTGTTCTCAGCTTTTTTACTGCAGAACTGTTTACATTTCACAGCGGTTTGGGTCCCAAAACCCATGTTGAACATACAAATGCTTACTTAGGCCAGGATGACAGTGAGAAGCTTCCTGAAAAGTAGTAAGATCACCGGGTGTAGAGAAGCTAGCTGACAACTGTTTCGGACATCATATGAAAAAAAGGTCGAAGGGGCAGCCACTGACTAAGTTCGATTTGACTTCAGCAAAATGGATTCGCAACACCTTCTAGCCTCTAGCGTTCAAACCTTTAAAATCTAATCCATCACTCCCCGCGCAGGTACCGTCAGCGAGATGGATGTCACAAGCGGTGCCCTGGGATTTCCTGTGGACATCCCAAAGTTTTGATGGGGTATGTGCGTTAGCATTTGCAGGGATGATATGTTGAAAATCCATTTCGAGGTACCCCTTCCTATGAAAAGACACGTAGACCCAAAAATAAAATACATTTAATTTAGCCACTACTGACTTAGGATGTCTATGGAGGTATTTTCCATTATTGGGTGATGTTTATGTATTTTGTTTTTTCGCAATAGGAGTGAACCACATCTTATCATTTTGTTTGCCCCATCATTCTGTCAATACCAGCTCAAGTCAGCAGATTCCCGAAGTCTCAGTCTCAGAAGCTCATCATTGCAAAACGCCTGGCCGTTGCAGCCATCACTGTGTCCCAGTACAAAAGGTGTTAACAAAGGTGTTAACGCATCAGCGCCCCATGTCGCTTCAGGGATTTGCTGACGCAGTTTGCAACAGCCCCCAGCTGCGGACACGCCTGCTTGAGGGAAAACCATTGTTGGCCTGGCCAAAGCCGTCATTGGTCGGGGTCATCAACAAGAACTCTTTGAGTTTGAACATTGAGGTGATGAAAATCTTGGGTGACATTTGGTGCCCTCAATGGACTGGCCCCATCACAACGCCTGTAGCCATTCAGAAGCAGCAGGCCACTTAGTCAAAAAGATTTGGGGATGGGGACCCCTTCCAAAAAATGTTAATCGTAGATTTAGTTTGTCTACTTTGTGGGCGCAAAAGCTGTTCCCATCAGGTGAAGCAGATGCGTCTTGATCTGTGTCTCCCGCCAAATCCGGCATTTGTGCATTGTGACTCTCATGGCCTGAAGGGGCTCTTGAGCTTCATCGTTCACAGGTTGCATGCTTCCAAGCGAAGACGGGAGCCCGGGTGGGAATAGGTATTTGTAAATGTTAGAAACCAAATGTCGTGCAACCACGGTTTCCTACAACATTTCCCTTCTCCTTTGCTCATCCCTTTCTACTTGTCCCTTCCTTCCCAGGAGCCAGAGATCGAGGCCTTGTTTGCCAAGTACCGCGGCTATTGGCCACCAGCAGAGGAGGGTGAGGAAGAGACCGTTGAGACCGATGATTCCCAACCCCCGGCCGAGGAGCCTGAATCCCCAGAGAGCTCTGAGAGTGACGAGGTTGTCTTTGACAGACTTGAGTTGGCCAAAGCCTTGGGTGTTCCCCAAGAGCATGTTGAACGGTTGACCCCCAAGAAAATGAAGAGCGACCCCGAGTCATCACCTCCCTCGCCTTTGCCTCCTGTGATTCAGACCTTGGAAGCTGAGCCGCCTAGCATGCCATCCAGTTCCGTGAGCATTCCCGACCGAGCTGACTGGCGTGCAAAGCGCATGGCCGAACTCAGGTAACAGATCTCAATCCACAGTCTGATATTTTCTAGTAGGCAAACAGGTTTTGGTTCCCCACCTGCCAGGTGAGGGCTGTTAGATTTTACAAGAGCTCTTCTCCTTCTGGCCCTCCTCTCCTCCTCTCCTCCTCTCCTCCGCGGCGTCCTCCTCGCAGTCCAGATCGCACTGGGCACTGCCGGACTTCATCTGCCAGCTCCAGATCGCACTGGGCACTGCCGGACTTTATCTGCCAGAAAGAATGTCAGAAGATATGCCAGATAGAATGCCAGAAAGATTGTCAGATAGAATGTCAGAAGATATGCCAGATAGAATGTCAGAAGATATGCCAGATAGAATGCCAAAAAGAATGTCAGAGGAAATGCCAGATAGAATGTCAGAAGATGTGTCAGAAGGAATGCCAGAAAGGATGTCAGAAGATATAACAGAAAGAACGTCAGAAGATATGCCAGATAGAATGCCAGATAGAACGTCAGAAGATATGCCAGAAAGAATGCCAGAAAGAATGTCAGAGGATATGCCAGAAAGAATGTCAGAAGATATGCCAGATAGAATGCCAGAAAGAATGTCAGAGGATATGCCAGATAGAATGTCCAAAAGAATGTCAGAAGATACTAAAGTCACCAGGGGCCAACTTTTGAACTTTTTTGGTTGTGGGTCCGCGCGCGCGCGCGCCACTTTGGTCTTTCTTTCGTTAGCCCAGTGGCGCGCGCGCGGGGACCCAGAACAGGAAAAAGTTCAAACTTTTATTCCGATGGGTCTTGGTTGGGTAAGGATATGCCAGATAGAATGCCAGAAAGAATGTCAGAAGATATGCCAGATAGAATGTCAGAAGATATGCCAGATAGAATGTCAGAAAGAATGTCAGAAGATATGCCAGATAGAATGCCAGAAAGAATGCCAGATAGAATGCCAGAAAGAATGTCAGAAGATATGCCAGATAGAATGCCAGAACATATGCCAAATAAAGTGTCAGATAGAACGCCAGATACAACAGCGAGGAGGAGGAAGAGGAGGAGAGGATAACTTTGATGAAATCTAGAGACCCAAAAAGAGATGCCAGAAACAATATCAGAAGATCTGCCATAAATCATGTCAGACTAATTGGTCACCGTGGGGATCACCCGAAGCAAAGTAATTTATTTTTTTTGAAGGCCGCTTCAAAAAACAACATTTGAAATTCAGGCGGATGATTACAGATCGCCAAGCCTGTTCGAATGGAACCACTTCTGTGAGCAAGGGTGCGTTGGCACGACTTTGGGATAAACAAGGTTCCACATGTTTTCTTTCGATTCAACCTCGGTCCACTGACCGCCCAAAAAATAAACACAAGTCTTGTTTGTCCAGCATCGCTGTTTGCAAGTTAGGATCGGTCGACGTCAATGTGGTTGACACAGTGCCCATGGAACTTTCTCCCTTGGCTGCTGCTGCTTCTGCTGACGCTGCTGCCCGGGAAGAGCCCAGCCCCCCCACATCCCAGATAGCTGTGAAGGAGCAACTGTTCCCCAAGCAGGAAGAGGCGATGGAGATCGCACAGGGCAAACCCTTCCCCGAGGTGACTCCCAAACCCAATGAGGGTGAGAAGGAACAGGAATTGGGTGAGGAAGCAAAGGCTACAGGAAAGGTTTCGCAGGTTGGGTCGGTGCAGGATCAGGAAGGTGGCTACTCAGATGTGTTGGATCAACCGGAGGCAGGGGTTTGTAAAACATGTTAGGGGTTTCAAAAAATAATGTTTCAGTCAGGGTTCTTTTATCGTTTCGTTGGATGTTGTTTGCTTGATGATCACCACCCTGAGGCTGAAGTTACGCGGCTGCAGCAGCAAGCAAGGAAGAGGGATCTTGATGACAAGGCTCGAGAGGCGAAAGGGAAAGGAAAAGGGAAAGCCAAAGGCCGGGGGCGGGGTCGGGGAAGGGGGAGGAACGGCAAGGGAAGGGGCAAAGGAAAGCAACCAAAAACCAGCAAAAGCACCAAGGCGAAGGCGAAGGCCAAAGCCACAGCTAAGTCTAAGTCCAAGAAGCCACAGGCTGAGGCAGCTGAGGCAAATCCAGGTGATGAGGCTGGTGAGGTTAAGAAGCAAGGTAAGAGAAGCCGTGCCAAGGCGACCATCCCAGAGCCAGCCCCTGCCCCTGCCAAGAAAACAAAGACCAAGGAGAACAACCCCACCTTCGCAGGCAGGTACAAGCCAACAACGGAAACCATGGGTCGGGTTTGGGAGGCTTTGCGCAGAAAGTACATGACCGACATGGTTCCCCAATTGCGTGCACCTTCCAAGTTTCAGGCCGGGGGGGTTCTAACTAATTCAGAGTAGACAAATCAATACAAATCTTACCATTTGAAACTGTTTGGTTTTGACCGGCAATAACGATATGGCTGTTTCCCTTGAGGTTCCTTTCTGGCGATTTGCTTTGAACAAGTGGGGTTCCGAAAAGGTGCAGTTGGATCAGCTCGATTCGGATGGCTTAGCCGATGCTGCACATTGCGCAGGGGAAGCCTTCCTGTGGGAGCCGACCGTCGCATCGCATTTCATTTCTCAGTAGGATCGCGCTCCGATGTCACCTTATTAGTTGATGTATGTTCGGGCCTCTAGCCATCCTAGTGCACTTGCACTGGGCCGGGGTTTGCTTGTGGCTTAACATGCTGGATCTTGTGGCTGCGAGAGCTTGGGAAAAGTCCTTCTGCTGTCTTTTTAAACATCAGTTAGTGGTTTTGCTTAATGCCCCGCTTTCAACATGTTGTCTGATTGGTTTTTCGCGATCCCAACCCCCCATTTCCAGGATAATGTTTTGCCCATTGCGCCTCTGCTTTTCTCCAGGTACTTCAAAGTGATGCCGCCTGGGGACCTCAGGAAGGGGCTTGGCGCCTTCGCCCTCTGTGGCCAACTCACTAGCCAACCTGACATGCTTTTACTTGATGCAAAGTATAGTGAAGTGATTCAGCCATCTCTGTCCATCATTGTCACTTGATCTATGACTCTGTCAAGTTCTTTCAACGCTATGGCTCAGATTTTTGGTTGGAAAGACCGCTTCATTTTCGAGTATACCTAGTGTTTGCTAGCTGCTGGCCATGGATCAATCATTGCTAGATTTGGTCCTGCGGCGTTTAGTGATGCTAAAGGCGCCAAAGGCAGCTTGATGGCATAAAAAACAGCTGTGGCTAAGTTTGTTTATGGGATACAAAACCCAAATCTCGGCCAATGAGGCACTGATTATGGTGCTGTTGATGCTGACATGGCTGGACTTCGTGGACATAGAAAACAATAGCCGCCAGTTCCAGTGCTTGGAGTTCTTTGCCGGCGTTGGCCGAATTGGCCGCTTAGCCCATAGCCGTGGATACCGGTCGGCCTGTTATGATATCCAATTCGATCCGTTGGCGCAGGAAGCAGGAGAACCTTCTTCCTCTTCAAGCAAACGGGCTCCCTCTTCTTGCAGAGGGAAGAAGGGGTCAGGGACCGCGATGGACTTTGGGAGCGATGGTGGGTTCCTGTTTCTTGATCTTTCACAATTCGTTGACTTAACTTTTGTTGGTTTCTGAGGATTGATCCATTCAAAAGGTGTTTCAAGAAGCAGAAACTTTTAGTGGGATTTGGTGACAACATATGACAACCAATTGATTTTGGAGGGGCGCTATTTTTCTAAAACAAATTAGTGTTTCTTGGGCTCTAAGGACAGCATTGGTCATGGCACTGCAAGGATCCTACAACGCCCATGTTGTTTTTTGGGGCATATGCTGTTCGAGCTGGATCCACCTCAATTCTGGCACAAGCCGTCGGGATTATCTAAATCCGCATGGCCACCCTCCATATCCCAGTGTTCAATTAGCAAACCGGCTTGTGGCAAGGCTGGCTTTGGGAACTTAAGCTTGGGATTCTTTTCTGTGGGGCACGGTGGAGAATTACCCTCAGCATCCGTTGTTTTTTTTGTATTTCGGCTTGCACCCTGAAAGGTGTATCCTCGTGATTATGGTCACCGTGAGCCTTGGGGGCCACATGGTTCTAGAAAATCCCGGATCTTCATTGATTTGGCTTCACGACCGTTTTCAATGGATGCTGCAAACCCTTGCTTCTTTGGGGATTAAGGTGCCTTAGTGAAAGGATGTAAAAGGTTTCTACATGTTTAGAGCCAGAAATGGGTTCCCATTTGAAACATTAGTTTTCTTGGTGCCACCGTTCGCCCTGCCCAGGTCTACCGCCAGGCTTTCTGGATGTCCTTCTGGGGACACGACTATATGAAGAGGACAGTGCTGTGGTCAACCTCCAGAATCATTGGGACTTTCAATAAAGGGAAGCTGTCCGCAAAAAAACACGGGCCCACCAAAACCAAAACTGTGGTTCGCTACCGAAACCGCAATGGGCGCATGGCCTACAAGGGTTCGAAAACTTTGAAGGGTACACAGAAACTTGTCTCTAATGGTTAAGTTGGAAAATCGGCATGTCTCAGTGACTTTTTTGGAACCAAACAACGCCACCTAAGTTTCAGGCATTTCCAAATTTGGCAGCACTAGGTAGTCCACTGTGCTCATCGAAAATGGTTTGGTGGAACTAAGGATGTATCCCGTAAAATTTGCGGGCCATATTGTTCGGTGCCTACCTGCTATGTTCAGATCAACAGGTGCCCTTCCCGAGGCTAGGTTGCCACAAGCCCCTTGCATACTAATGTTAGCCATACTGCTTTCCTATGTTTTAATCCCTCCTACTGTGACTACTGTGATCTTGTTTTCGGATATATTTATCCATACTATCCTCTTTCCTGCCCCAGGTTGACACCAGTCGCCCTTTTGTGGAAATCTTCAAGGAGATGGAATTCGACGACTGGTGGGATGAAGCGGATTTGAAAAGTGTTTATAAATATTTGAGGGGATGCAAGGGGTTGAAAATTCCCGCTGAGTACAAGCCATTGTTACCCACTACAATCTAGTTTCCAAGAGTGGGAATAATTCAATAGCACAAAATTCTTGTATCGAGATCAAATTTGGGTGAAAAAATCTGGGCGGAAATCGGCGGGAAATGGGCGGAAATCGGCGGGAAGTGGGCGGAACTACCCGGATTGAGATTTTATAACTTTTTTCAAAACACCAAACATCATTTTTGTGGAAGGGATTTCATGGTTTTAGGACCGCATTTGTGAAGTTACTCTTCATCTTGAGTGTTCTAGCGGTATTTGGGCTCAGTGTTGGGATAGATGCAAGAGCTACCCAGTCGGGCGTGGTCTTGCCAAACCCTCCAGCGGGGCCTCAACCTTGTTGAGACCTTACCCATGTCTTTGGGTTCCTGCCGAGAGCCGGATGTGGCGGCAATGGAAGCAGAATTGGCTGCTTTAGAGGCCCCCAAATTCGGGTACCCCAAAGCCTTTCAACCAATATACCACCAAAGATTCGGGGATAAGTTACAACAGGTTGTATGGGAAGTTTGGGATAATCCTGGGGGGTGTTTGGAAGAATGTTTGTATAAAATATGTTGTGATATTTGAAGTTCGGTCAAGTAACCCCATTATGTTTACAACCAATTCAACAGCCAGTCCCAGGATTGTGAGAAACAGCTGCCACCTTATCATTCCAGATACTGCCCGTGTAAAAGATTAAAGAACAAGGGAAAGTTGAAGTATATATACTATGTAGGGAACCTTTTTTTGGGGAATCCATGGCTTGGCAATACATAGACACAATGTCCATGATAACTTGTTGGAGGCATGGGGGTCGCATTTGGCCCTACCTCACTTGGAGTCGCGCTTGCCCCTACTGAAGGGGGAGGTAGGGGCGCAGCTGACCCTAGGGTAGGGGCGAATGTGACCCGACTTGGTTTTGCGTGGCAGGCGCAATAGATTTGAGGTTCAGTTCACAGCCAGAAGAGAGTCTCGAGAACATTAAGAGTGTCTTGCAAGTTCTAAAAAGAGAGTAAGAACGAAGCATCAAGAGTGTATGGCAAGTGCCACGAAGAAGTTGCCTACGTAGCATCAAGAGCGTCTGGCAAGGTCCAAGAAGAAGTTAACTACGTAGTATCCAGAGTGTCTGCCAAGTTGCAAGAAGAAGTTACCTACGTAGTATCCAGAGCGTCTGGCAAGTTCCAAGATAGATAGAGAAATGGGGCATAGGGTATCTTGGGGAATGTGTGAAGTTAAGAATAACTCTTTAATTTCTGACCACTTTATGAAATAGGAACGTATAGTAGTACACACAAGGTCATCTCCCGTTGAAAAACATTCCATAGACCCCATTGACTGTTTTGATCGCGTAATAGAAACATCATTAGTTGTAGAAAGATAGACAGATAGATAGATAGATAGATAGGTAGATAGATAGATAGATAGGTCATACCCCCATAGATAGATAGATAAATAGATAGATCGATAGATATGTATGTATGTATATATATATATATTTATATTTATAGACATCCCGATCAGCGACTGCTCCGCTCAGGTTGTCCTTGGGGGTGGTGGTCAACCCCCTGGCGGGAGGAGCCCTGGTCCTTGGGGGTGGTGGTTAACCCCCAGATAGATAGATAGATAGATCGATAGATAGATAGAAAAATAGATACATAGATAGATAGATTCCCCCAAGTCCCCCCCTGCCCCCCCTTAAACCCCGGTCCCCAGGTCCCCCCCTAGGTTAAACCCTAAAAGGTATATGAGTGAGGTAGGGGCGAATGTGACCCTAGCTGGGGTAGGGGCGAATGTGACTCTGAGGCAGGGGCGAATGTGAACCCCGTGCCCCTTGTGGGATCCCTCAGATGCATTTTTGGTTTTCATCCCCTATGGGCCTTGTAAATTTTACCTTCTATCAGAATTCCACTTTCATGGGTGTACCCTTCCAATTATCTAACTTTCCTGGGGTAATACTGGGTAATCCATCATTCGCTGACAGGCTGAAGAAAATGCATTTTGCCACCAGACTTCAGCGCCACCGCCACCCTCACGAGCGGAGCCTGCGCCAGCTTTGCCGCCTGATTCTTCTGGTCCTGGTGCTGACAGCTCGGTGCCAGCTTCGGGGGCCAGTCAGGAGAGTTCTTTCATGGAGACCCAGGTGGATGAAACCCCACTTCCCAAGAAACCTTCCTTCATCGATTTGGAGGACAGAATGGTTGTGAAAGAAAATGGTTCAAGTTGATTCTTTATCTACTGTATTTGCCCAGTCCCGAGATTTAGAGTTAATACCACCCAGGACAACAGGGGTTAGGATTTGGGGATAGGGTCCCAACCCACAAGATAATAAATTATAAATAGTTACTGAAAAGATGATGTGATTGATCCAAGATTATCTGAAACTATCTGGGGCTTGATATATTGTCGATTCCGGGGATGATCATGTTGAAACCAAATTCCTGTCCAGGATGACGATGAGAAATTCTCTGAGGTGCCACAGGATGCCCAGACTCCATTTACTTATCAGGCACGTACCCCGTACTATTCCCCGCCGAAGGATGATGATCATGATGACTCTCCCATGGAGGATACATCCTCGAAGGAGGCCGAGGTTGAAGCCAGGGCCGACCCCTCCAAGGAGGATGCCGTAGCCAAAACTCTAGAGTTTCCAAATGAAGAGCCGCATGAACCCGTCACCCAGGAGGATGCCGTAGCCAAAGCTTTAGAGGTTGAAGGTGAAAAGCCACATGAACCCGTCACCCAGAGAGCCGACAGGTTGGTTGCCCCATACGTGATCGCCAAACCCACCAAAAGGCCTGGGGTAGAATTGAGCCAGGGTGCGATCTACAAACGGATGAACCGAATTTTCACACCGAGATCTGATGGGACATATTTGGTGGATGAAGAGTTTGTTCGCAAGTGGAAAAATTTAGACACCCGTGACGAGCTCAACATCTTATTTGAGAAGTGCGACTACCAACCCGACACTAGATTGTTTTTAGTCCTCGGTTTTACAGTGAATGTTGGGTAGGGGAGCGTGCTTTCCCATAGCTTGCTATTCTTGCTGCTTCTGCTCCGCCCTGATTCTAAGGAACAATTTATTCGGCGATGTCGCCGTATCACGCAGGAGATTGACGAATCGTGCTTGGATGTGGAACACCAGTTCCTGACTGTAGGGGATATGGAGGAGAAAGGGTACTCGCAGTTCCTCATCTTGAAGGAAACATTTTATCAGACAAATTTGCCACAAAATAATGGATCTTTTGTCGACTTTTTTCCACATTGAGTCACATTGTCTACTTTGATCCTTGGGTCGTGCTGCTGCTACAAGGTCGAAAATCGATGGCATCAAGGAGTTCTGCAAGCAAGATGCTTCGCTGACCAGGACATACTTAGAAAAAAGTGGAACTGCACATACGACGTGGCCACTAGATGTAGCTCCAAACTTTCAATTTGAAACCAATGCCCCAGCCACAGATTTGGCAGGAAGTCAAAGTACGGTGGCGGTGACATGTATTGGGTCGAAGTTGCCATCAAAGGCAATGAGAGGCCCGATAGCTGAACCATCTTCAAATTAACAGTGCTTTCAATCGTTTTGAACCTATTCGAAATCTTTAATCCCACAGGCATATCCGCCGCAATCTCCTCGAGAAGGAGCTGCAGTGGGACGAGAAGGCGAAGGACAAGGATGACCTTAGGACACTGGGCACATCGTTGGCCAATCCCACTGAGGCTTTGCGCAACCTGCTTCAAAGTTTGACACATGTCTTTCCATGACTCAGTGTGAAAAAGAATCTGGAAAGATGTTTCTCTTTTTTTCCCAACACTAAAGCCATATTGCAATACACCGTACTCTCCCCAATAGCTGTGTAAATATAATATACATAATATATATATATACTATATTAAATATATATTCTATTATATTTAATTTAATTTAATGAATATATTTTCATCCCATACACCCTTCCAGGAATTGGCTATATATAGATATATCTTCCATATATCTTCCATATAATACAGAGCATCTACCCCATAGACTGCATCTATTGACAGCTGAGGTGATTTGGATGATTCGGCCGCTCATGGGGCCGTTCCCATGACCCCGGTTGCTGCTGTGAACACGGACATCGTGAAGGCTTTGAGGCAAACAGGCTTTCCCGATGTTGAATCCAAAGCTACCCCGTCATCTTTGGCAACAAAGGTCATTGCCACCATTCAAAAGAGGTTGAACAAATTGGAGGAAATGGCAGGGAAGATCACAGATGTTGCAGCACCTAGTCGAACGGACCTCATGAATAAGACCCTAGGGTCCAATTTTAATGGACAACGTTTGCTGTCAACCCCTTCAACTCTGTCCTTTGGATGGTCCATGTGTTCAAACCAATCACCTGATTTGATGGGGTATAAGGGTGCTGGAAAAGATCGTCAACATCAAGAATCTCTTGAGCAGCCAGCTGGACACCCTGAACGATCTCTACAGTAGGGGGCTGCTTGAGGGAAGTTCTGAGAAGTTCCTCAGCTGTGCTAGTGGGTGCCAGCATTGCCCAGTGCTCCCCAGAGGACCCTGCCACATCGGCCAGGATTGAAAATGAGATGAAGGAGACCATGCTCAGCGCCAGGAAGTTGCTTCACCCTGAGCAGAATTCTTTCAGCTCAAACTTGTGGCACCCATCACATCCCTAACAAACTCCAGGGTTTCCATGCCGAAGGTCTGTGGATAGCATCCTTTTGGAGCCACGAGTCAGGCCCCACACTTAGTACTTGGATCAATGAGTGGTGTTGCCCCACACTTTTTCACGGGACCAGTAGTGGAATTCAAATGTTCTCAGTTAGGTCGATCATCTCTGATTTTGAACGACTTCGCCAGAAGCGCCTCGCTGATGAAGCTCGAAATTCTGGACCGCCCAACAAAAGGCCAAAATGCAAGCCCAGACCTAAGCCGCAGCCTAAGGCTGGGGGGAAGGCTGCGGCAAAGAAAAAGGCTTGAAAAGGCCTTGGAACACTTGGGGTTTTGAGAGTCATACGCACGAGCTGACCACGTGTGACGGTTCTCTCTTTTGCTCCACATGTCACAGTACATGTGTGAAGGTCAATTTGACTTGCATACAAAGTCGCTCTTTGACAATCCAGTGGCCGATGAGAAAAATGTTTCAAAACCAATGTGGGATAAGTTTTCTGTTTTACTTGGGGGGATGGACTCCCTGTAAGTTCACCAAATACTTTGCCAGGTGTCGAACCTGACAATGCTGAAAATGGTCCGATGATGGAACACTGGGCAGAAGAAATGGGCCTGGGTGCCGGGCTCCAAGTAAAATCCAGATTCCAACTCGCAACGTGATTTCAACTTTGAAAACCAAACATGGGAATTCTTTCGTGCTTTGAGTACAGGGGACCTATGAAACTATTTGCAAGCCACTGCTATAGAATATGTTTGGGTGGGTCAGAACCGGAGCCCGTGCCAAGGCCACGGCCACTTCCATTGCCCGATCAGTTCAGGCTCGTCGAGAAGAGGTTCATGGAAGTGCAGCCTCGAAAACGGATGATCGGGTCAAGTGGAACGCAACACGGAATATCACTCGCATGCTGAACCGGGCCGGTATGGCCATAGAAGTACCAAGGGAAATTTTGAAATATGAAATTCAAGATGGATCTGTTATTGAGCTCCCTGTTGTCAAGCCTGGTTCTTGGTTGCAATTGATTTTGAAAAAGTATCCAGAGCTGCTCTTTCCTCAAAACAACATGGAAGAGGAGCTGCAAGTGTTCTGGAACCATTACAGGTTCATCCAACCCAACCACGAAATTTTCAAATCACCACCGGAGCAGTTGAAACGAACATTGCCGATTTTAGTTCATGGCGACGAAGGTCGGTATTTGAAAAAAGGGAACTACCTCATTGCGACCATAGAGATGATGTTGGGGTCTACACCTACAAAGCTAAAAGAGTGCTGTTGTGAGGCCGACCCAGTGCTGGAGCGATATCCTGAGGTGCACAATGATGAAGGCAATATCTTCTCTAGAAGGGAATGCGAAGTAGCATCCAAACAGCTGGTAAACCTGAGTGGAAACTGCTTCTTGTCCAAATACTTGCTGTTTGGCATGGCTTCTCAACAATACAAAGCTCATCCTGACTTGGTCCACCAAGCCATGGGTATGGTGTCGGAGGATTTGGCTTCGTTGCATTCCCAAGGGTTTCGTCTGGGATCCGAACAATATTTTTGCGCAACTTTGGGGGTGAAAGGAGACCTCAAATTTCACTTTCAGATGGGGCACTTGACCCGCACATATCTGAACACTGGAACTACAAACGAAAATCCTGTTTGCTCGCTATGTCTAGCCGGGTCACCCGGATTTCCGTTCGAAGACTTGGGCCCATTGCCAAGATGGCAAGACACTATGTTTAGTGAGAAGCCTTGGAACCACGAGCCCGTGCTGGTTCAAATACCATTTCAACATGGGCAGGAGGAAGCCCTCTTTCGGTTCGATTGTTTTCACTGCTGGAAGCTAGGCGTTGGCCGCGACCTGGTGGGCTCAACTCTGGTGTCCCTTGCATTGCTGGGGTATTATGATTTTGACGAGGATGATACCCAGAATTTGCCTGACAGACTTGACCGCTGCCACTCCCATTTTCGTTTGTGGTGCCAGGCCTCCGGGAAATCCCCAGCCCTACATTATTTTTCCCAGGCCTTGTTCAACAGCCCGAACCAACGCAGCTTTCCATGGGCAAATGTCAAAGGTTCCGACTGTATGCTGCTGACATCCTTTTTGCTGTTTCTCGTCAATGTAGCTATCAAGAACGGCTCGGTGAAGGAGGGTCACCTTGTTTTTTTCAAGATCATCAAGGAGACGCTGCAATCTGTGGAAGTGTTCTTCAGCATACTGTACTCACATGGTTTGTGGTTGTCTCGGAAGTGCGGGCAAAGAGTGCTCCACCACTTGATGGTCATGCTGAAAGGTTACAAACGACTAGCCCATGAATCTGCAAAGTTGGGCCTGGTAGCTTATTCGCTGAAACCAAAACTCCATTCTATGAGACACATTGCTGGGGACATCGAAAACCAATTGCGTTCGGGAGCTCCCAAAATTTTGAATATTTTGGCTTTTTCTTGTGAACCAAATGAAGATATGGTAGGGCATGTTGCTCGGTTGAGCCGCCGGGTGAGTGCCAGAACAGTAAACCACCGAGTTTTTGACCGCGTGTGCATTAGGATGAAAACATTGTGGAAAAAGAAACGGAAGCATTCTGGGATTTGAACATGGCCACTTCACCACGATTTGAAGTCTCGCTCCAGCCGCGTTTGAAGAAATTGAGCCAATGTTGGAAGCTGGGGGGCGGAGAGGGTGATGCGTGGACCAAGGGTTGATCTAACCCCCTTTCAAAGTTTCATTGGCAAACTCCAAATGGTCAATTTTGCATCAAGATGTCCAATCTGAAGGAATTGAACAAAAATTCTTGACCATTAGCATGTGGGCTGAAAAAAGTCACCTGTGGATTTTGTAGGTATATATATATGTATACATATTTATAATATAATATCATTAATAAGTGTATTTATATATATATGATTATATGTGGGCCCTCCAATTTCTAGCTAAGTTATGCTAAGTTGGTTTAGTTCAGGCTGAACTGTTGGGATTGTGGTAGCCATATACCTATGGCACCCTCTGGCCAGATATGTCAGGATGGGCTTATGAAGCAACTTCCCAACTGAGATTCTCATGTCGGAGCCCAAGGATGGGTCTTAGTGAGGAAACAACAGAGGATACCCTCTGGTTATGTCAAAATAGCTATTGAAAATGGCCATTTATATCCATTTATAATGGATTTTCCCATTGAAAATGGTGATTTTCTATACTTATGTTAGTTTACCAGAGGGTAAGCTATTCACCCATTCTTTCAGGTGTTGTTAGATGGTCAAAATCCACGGTTTCCTGTAAGGAAGAACCACCTCAGTCAATCCAGCACCACTCTTCTGGGTTTCGCACGTCCAATTCACTTCCAAGGGGCTCCTTGCATATAGCCTGGCATCGAGAAGAAACATAAGAAATCCATCTGCTGCTTTGGTCCAAACAGTTGTAGATGGTGGGTCAGGATACATCCATAGATTCAACATGATTCAGCATATATTCATCCAAAATACCGCCCATGTGCTTAAAACAAACAGATCTAATTAACCATTAACCCGCAAAAACCTACCATGGACCTAGGGTATTGGACCCTGTCTTTCCAGCAATTCCCCACCTCCGTACTTCAACGCTTTGGAAGAGCGGAAGCTTCTGCCTCCAAGGGGGAAGCGGGGAGAAGTCACTACTTGGAGGTTGCAATACCTCCAAGTCGGCTGAAAAACTGTTCGATTTCATGAACCACTGAGAATTTCAACCAAGTAGATTTGATTACCATCTGGTTATTTAACATAGCCATGGAAACTCACCATGTTTAATAGGTAAACCATCTATAAATGGGCCATTTTCCATGGCTATGTTAAATAACCAGAGGGTGTTTGATTTCAACAAGTACTATTTGATTCACAACAGTGATTTCAACAAGAAAAACCTGGTAGAAAACTGATTTCAACGACATCGCTCCCTGAGCTCACCTGTACCAGCTCATCCCATCTCCTTTCCTCAGTTTTAGGGCTGGAAAAGCCATATTTTTGTTGTCTATATCCCTACGTCAACCATTTTGGGTGAACTGTCCCTTTGTTAAGTGTTCCTCTTTCCATGGCCTGAAGACCATCTGGCCATAGACGGAAAGCCCAGAGGCCAAGTAGGGGCCTCAGTCCCAGCTTTTTGCACAGAACCAACCGCCAAGATCGCTGGGATCCTCACTGGAAAGGTCCAGGGCCATGAGCCCACTCAGCTCCTCCGAGACCTGTGTAGTGGATCAGCTGCTGAAAGGCTTGAAAAACAACACCTTAACCATGAAAATTATGGGAAACGTAGAGGAATATCATTGATCAATGATTGCTGATTGTGTATTGGAATTACAGGGAAGCACCATCAACATCTTTTTCAATACGTGTTCTATCTGGTGATTGCTATAATCATTAGTTTATCCCATGACATCCCCATCATATCACTTTTTTTGCTGGTGAAATCACCATTTTTGCTGGTGAAATCACACTGAAATCATTCCCAAAACGGGCTCCATACGAATCACGGCAACTCATCTCCGCGCCTTCCCCCGCACCTTTACCTCATAGACTGCCAGCAGCGTCAGGTGCCGCATGCTGCTCGATGGAAGCTCCTGAGGAACGTGGCAACTTGATATGGGGCTGCTGTGTTGGATGATACCATCTGGTAATTGATTTATTGCTTATAATAGAAGCTAATATGTAGTAATCTATTGCTATCTATTGCCTTTATATGCTGTTTTATGTTATTTTTGGCTGCTTATTCTTGGTTAGTTGCGTTGGTTCCCCTCGGTAGTTGAACAGTTTGCCGTGGAAGCTATGGCCCATTTAGTTTGATGATTTACCTCTTCAACATGGTGATTGTATGTGATTGTCCAGCACGCAAAGTGTAACAGTTACTACCAAACATTGCATGATTTCTGGGGAAATCTTGACGCATTCTCTTCAGTCCCAGAAAATGTGATACTGTACCCTCTGATATAAAATTATATAACATGCCCAAACAAAGGGCCCTGAAAAAGGACTTTGATACTACACTACACCGTGTTCAAAATTCTTTTTTGGTGCCATCATGTGCCATCCAAATTTTAACACCAATTACCCCGCTATCCTAGTGATTTGATGTCAAGCTATCAATCCACTTTTGGACTCCTTCCCCAGGTGCCCCCACCACACTCAGCTTCAAGGTATCTGCAACACCGTCATGGTTGGGATCGCTGAAACTGGATCGCACCAGAGGGACTTTGACCTCTGGCAACGTGCAGAAAATGCATCAAAATGCCTTGAGATCTCGTTTTCTGGTTTCCATGAATGGCCAGTAACCATCATCTCCAGTTTCCATAGAAACGTGATGAACAATATGAACAAACATATTCATCTTGGTCGTGATATCGAAGATGTTCCCACAGTAGATAAAACATGATGAAAGACTCTTTAGATCTTAGATAACATATAAAACAAGATACCTAATCCCATGTCAAGCAGTGCCCCTAGCCCATTTTGTTGATCATGTTTCAATCATCTCCCCACCTTTGGTGGTTAAAACACGTTATAACCAGAAAAAAAAAACATTCAAAAGCCATATCTGAATCAAACAACCTAATCAAAACTATTAAAACCCATTGAAAATCAGTGATTCACATGCGTTAAACCCATCTAAAACCATTTAAAACCCATCTAAAACCCACATCTGAATCTGTTTGATGCTTAAATCTCTGCTGGCGGCGCCTCCGGTGGCAAAAGGCTCTGCAAGGACGGCTGATTGCCTGAGGCGCAGGGACAAACTATTGGGTGACATTGGATTGAACTATTGGTGTCGAATATTCATTTAAATTATATTACATGTAATGACGATACATTAATGATATATTGGGTATATTATAATATATATTGAGTCTTATTTTTTTTTTGATGTTCCATTTTTTTTGTTGAAGTTTTTGTTGGGCCGCATTCCTGTCGTTTCCTGGCTTCATCAATAAAGAACCAATGTGTTTTTCGGGTTCGTGGCATGTCCCATTGACCAAAGCCACACCACCACACCGCCACACCCAACATGATTCTGCTGAGATATGATTCTTGCTGTCTCGTATCAAACAACATGCAACACATGGTGGTTTCCTGAAATGGGGGTACCCTAAATCATCCGTTTATAGAAGGATTTTCCATTAGAAACCATCTCTTTTGGGGATCCCCCATTTCAGGAAACCCCCATATCAACATGTCTTTTGGGAACATTTTCCAGGTGTTCCCTCTTGAAAACCCAAACACAATCCACATGGCATCTTCACCACCCAGGCGCTCCACCCCACTGCGCTGTTCACAGTGTCCCCGGAAGCAATCAGAAAAAGCTCATTGGTGAAGGAAACCGCCTCTGTTGCCCAGACAGACTAGTGGAATGGTACCATCGTCTGGGGCTATGATGAGTAAAGATCCCAGAGGCATAGCGTGATACGAAAGCTCCATGATATATATATATATATATGGAACCGCATACGCCCATTGTATATATTGTTCTTTTTCAATGTTGCCTAATAAATCTACAGTAATACTTGGAGATCTCCAGTAGAATGGATTTTCCCATCGTATTGATCAGACTTGTTTTGCAAAAATAGGTCTCTCACCACTCAACCATGTTTTCTCTGGGGAATGAGCCTCCTGCCATCATCCTTTCGCATTGGTCCCTTCAGCACGAAACACACTGAGGCTGTGACAGGCTGCGCCCTGTAGAAGCTTTCCTGCGAAAGAGGGAGGAACAAAAACGACCTATCGAAGTCATAGCTGACCTTTGATGAGGTACCAAAAATGGGTATTTAATCTTGGAACATGTTTCCGGGATAACAAACATGATCTTTATCTCAGGCTTTCAAGGCTTCTGACATTTCGACATGTTTCTACACAGTTTAGGATCGCTACCCAAGGGGTGCATCGAAGGATTGATGTGTTGGGATTCTTGATCCACTTAGAGACACTTTCAAACACAGTCCGGCTCAACAAAGTGGAACGTCATGTTTTTTTTCTGACTCCTGGCCGCTTCCGTTTTGACTCAGGGATCCTCAACCTCCACATATACAGCAGGGGGAGATCCGGCAGATCCTCAGTCCTTCACCCAAACATTCTCTGTGGCAAAGGTCGCGAAGAGAGGTATCACCACCAGTAAAATGGCACAGAGCAGCCAGAGGCAATAAGCCTTCAGCAGGGTTACCCTCTGGTAATTTCTATAACAGTTTGCTATTGAACATGGATGAACATGGCCATAGAAATAGTTGATTTACCCATGAAAATTTGTGATTTTCCAGTTCGTTATATAAATGTTTGCCAGAGGGTAAATGACTCAGTGTCGCGAAAAATGCCGAGAATTTCGAAGGAATCTCATCAAGTACAGGCAAAAACCCGTGAAACGTGCGTGTACAATCATGGACGACTTAAGAAAAACATGATTTTTTGTGTGGCTGAAAGATCATTTCTGTTCATCGTAAATGTGAACTGATTCGTGAGAACCTTCCTACAGATTGTTTCGGTGACTGAAGTTTATAGGGGGTCATGTTTCCCAAACCCTTCTTTCTATAAACTGTATAAACATCTGTTGACTAAATATTGAAATATCAAGTAAATCAATGTGGTGAAAATCCCCTTTTGGATCCCAGAAAAAATCCTTGCCTCTAAATCTACGTATGTTCCGGTACAAAAATACTTTGAGGCTTAGATCATGTTAGATCCCAATTCCCATTCTTCGTGGTTCTCAATAAAAAAAAATGGTTTAAGGGAATGTTTACCAGAAACCACCATAATTATATATAATTCTCATGTCATAGGAAAAATCCATGGTGTCCAGTGACAAAGTTCCCTTCAACCTCCTTAAACCCACATTTTTCTTTGCCAATCCATCGGGTACGTCTGGAAAATGGCCACTGTCAATAGGGAAAACCATGGGAAACTGATGAGAATCGGAGCCAAGGTACCAGGGAGCACCTGGGTGCTACATATAGCCGGGTGAAGGGCAACGCGTGACACTCCACCTGTTGGAAAGGCCTCGCTGACCATGGCCACAGTGTTTCTGGGAGGGATTTGGCATGTCTTTTTGGCCATGTAACACCGACAAAACACCCACAAAAAATGGAGTCTGATGATTTATCATTCTAAAGGCAACATTCCCATATTCAGAAAATCTTCGCATACCATGTTTTCATCGTACTCCAGACCTGGGTTTTGGTATGTTACTTTGATAGGCATTTCAGCTCAATCTGGAGGGAACAGTTGGCCCACGGCGAATCCATTGAATGCCCCTCCACAGCTTTCTATCCCCTATGTCGTTCCAAAGGAGCTGTGGACGTTGAATGAATTGAAGGCTGCTTTGATAAGGAAGTTTCCTCATTTGTCTACAGAAGAAGGACAGGGTTGTCAAAGGTAACGTTTTTAAAGGTTGGCTAAGTAAAAATTAGCAAGTTTCTTCCCCGGGACCTCACCCAAGGTGAACTTGGAAAAATAGAACCCACTGGTGTGCCCCTGGAAGTTTGGGCCGGCTTTGGGATTGGAATTTTGGTTCTGGCCGCGAAATTTCCCTATGTGGTCTCTATACCAGCCACGCATACTCGGAATTCTTCGCATTCCACAAATTCTTCGCACTCCACATGGGACATCGCACTCCACAGCTAGGGACGCGCACATACTATAAAATCCACGCACTCTGCAAGATCTTCGCACTCCATAAAATCTTCGTACTCGGTAATTTTTCGTTTTTTTTCGTTTTTTTTCTTTTTTTTTTTTTTTTCGTTTTTTTTTTTGGTGGGGGGGCTAAAATCGCCTGGAATCACGTTTTCTGGAATATGGGAAAGGTAGAGGTTTTTCGTGAGACGTCTGTAGTTGCACATACTATCGCATTCCAGGCAATTTTGGCCAAAAAAAAAAAGAAAAAAGAAAAAAAAAGCTCAGCAGGGTGAAATGTGATAATTTTCTGGTATATGATGGAAAAAACTGGTGTTGGATTCATGGGGAAGGTCGAAGGGGGCCACGCATACTGTTTTATTTTCGCATTCCAGAAAATTAGCGCACTCCAGGGGTGGCATCGTACTCTATCGGTGGAATTATTTTGCACGGAAGAAAACAGGATCGTCGATGATTTGTGTTCCCAGATCCTGTTGTGCAGAGCTCTTTGCGGGGCCACAAAGATGTCAAGAAAGATGGGGATGGCGCTGCTGATGAAAGGCCAGCCAAGCGTGCCAGAACATAAGCTTAAAGCTTATGAATTGGGTTTTGGGATCGTGAAAAGTGTAGATGACAAATTTCCATAAGAACATTATTAATCCATTTTTGGAAAGCTCAACATTTTTAATTATGACATTTCCAGAAATTGTTGAAAGTAAGGATCTTCTTTGGGGAAGAACATGTGCAGTCGACAACGTACGTGCCAGAAGAAAAGGAATACTTGGCAAACTGTATGAAATACAAATTTCACCTGAAAGGGGTCTTCGCAATTCCCTGAAATTTCCCAGCTATTTTGGCATGGAATATGTTCGGCCCTGGAATATGGGCAAGAAATTGCTAGAATCATGACTTATACCTTAACACATCTTAACACTATATATATAATTATATACAGTATATGAATTATATAATTATATAATATATATATACACATACATATATATATATATTCTTAGTGGAATTCTATAGTGTTTTTTTGAGGGGGTGACTATGATCAAGTCTTGCCAGAATCACCCTGAAAATGGGGGATCCCAGAATTGGAAATCATCCTAAAATGTGATCAATTCTAATGAAACATCCACATGGATCAGGACCTAGTACTGGAAGACCAAACATTAAAATGAAGAGTTTCAAGACTCAACCCGTGGTTTCAGGGGATTGTTTGTGGGTGATTTTCTCCAGAAAAATTGTTCACCATCAACACATTTATCTAAAAAAACATGGTGACATCGTGGTTTACCAACAAAACTTGGGAACACACATGACAGACATGGAATTTGAAAAACAAACATCAAAAAACAACAAGACCTAATTTGCGTATCTGACCAAAAACCAAGGTCGTAAGATTGAGATGACCCGAATCCAGCCGACTACGGTAAATCAGGACAACATCTGAAGATTTGATGATTGGTCGCATCAACTGCCAAGCTGCCATAACGTCATTCTGCAAACTGAATGCCCATGGTTCGTTCACTCACCAGAACATTTTTTTTTCAAGACATGACTTTCATCCCAAACGAGCTGATGGGTTGGAGTGATTGAAACATAATGACATGGTTTGTTGCGTTTGCTTGGGTTTGTTCCCGGTTGATTCAATGCGTCTTCAAAAATTCAACGGATGAATCGTGGCAAATGTGTGCAAAACATATGGCAATGTCGTTTCCACATTTGAGTGGACGTTTGCACTTTGGGATCTCAATGACATTGTTTATTCACGTTCCTGCGTCTTTTGTGCCACATTTTGTTTTGGGCAAGGTTCACGATGTTCTCTATCCAAACGGCTGCAACCCAAAAAGAAACAATCTATTGTCTATCCGGGGATTTTTTCGCACGCCCTGCCCCCCCCCCCTCTGGTTGAAAGGGATGACCGGTCTCAAGGTTTTGGCGGCCACCAAAACAATGAAAAACACGTTGTTATTGAGAACACATTAGCCATATTAATGTTAGTCAACCATTATCTCCGGATATAATTATGCATAACAAATGTGATACTTAGATTCAGATCGCCGTTTGTTTTTCATTTTTTCTTGCAGGTTTAGCATGGTTTGGCCAAACGTTGCTCCTTGGCATCTCCAAATTTTGACCCCCACACCCGCTTCCTTTTTTGCATCTTCTTCGCGGGACTTCGCTGCTTCGCCTTGCCTTCGACGGATCAGGGGGATGCCCAGGTGTAAAGGTTTAAAACCGCGACCCACACAAAACTGCCGTGTTTGAAATTCATTGAAATTGGTTATATATTGGTTATATGATTGAACATGATTGAACCATTGACATATTCATGGAACATGAAGTCTGTTGTATCAAGCTAGGGTCACATCATGCAGCGGCCACATGTTTGACCATTTTCCTGACAAATCTGAACAAACGAACATGTTTACGAACTAAACAATGAATAACAATGATATGTTCATGACTCTTCATGGCAAGTTGAACCGAACAAAAACACATGCATAGCCCTTCTGTACATACACACACTCGTATGCACACAAGCATGGCATTGCATTTCCCAATTTGAAAATGCCAAGATAAATCAGAACCTCGGAGAACAATAGAACACAGCATCTGTACGCCTGGTGCGGCCGGTGGCTGTTTGTCGCCTGCATGGCGAACGCATGGAAATCGTGGGGACAATCGTGGAGAATCCATGAGAATCCCTAACTTTAGATGGGAAAACCATGGAAAACCCATCCAGAAGTACATTAATACCGTCATAATATGTTATAATTATACCGTTGGACCATGTTTTGACCCAAGATGACCCAAGTACCTAGAAACATGATGAAACATGAGATAACGATAGGTAACGTACCTACATTAGAATATCATAGAATATCTCTATTACTTTGGTACTATTAAACCATTTTCATAAGGACTTGGTCTACACATCATGGAGAAATGTTTTCTTGAAGTGTTCATGGCCTGCTGGAGGTGATCTTGAACGTATCCTAGTTATGACTGGAACCTGGGTGGCGCCACTACGGATACCATCTGGTTATTTAACATAGCCATGGAAATTCACCATTTTTAATATAGGTAAAATCCACTATAAATGGTCATTTTCAATAGCTATGTTAAATTACCAGAGGGTACCGTTTATGACAAAGTGACAAACCTGTTTGATCTGTTTGGCTTGGGCTGGTACTTCATGATAATTCCGAAAACCTTTTTGCTCTCCGGTGCATGACTTTCAGCTGACTTGTGCAGCAGTATGCCAATCACCCTACATCAATCACTGTTAGCGCAATGATCTAGCTTGAAACTTGAAAACAGTCCTTTCCTCTAAAATTAAACAGCTCCAAAAAACACGGGGTTCGTATCTTGGGGGGTACATGGGGGTACTATCGTCATGATTGGGTGGGTGGACTGTTCGGTAATTAATTACATGCAATTACTGTACTGCACATTCCGTCTTCTTCTTCGCAAGCAGTGCATCACTAGAAGTATTCTGCCTCCTTGCCTCTGCATCCAAACGCTCAAAAACGTTTTGCACCACCTCCTCACCACTGTCCGCGCCAGCGAACGGATCATCCTTGAAGCTCACGATGTCACAGGCTGCAGTAAAGTCCTCCATGGTTTTGCCACGCAAATGGCACTGTCTCTGCACTGCCAAAGTCTTCTCCATTCTGCCTGCCTCCACACTGATCTGATCCGGCACTGCTCCAGATGCGGACAAGCGCCCTGAACCCGAGGAAGCAGGCTGGTTTTGGGAACCACGCAACCAGTGCCTGCACACCTCCCTTCCTCTACTGCGACTTCGTCTGGCTTGACGAACATGGTGGCTTGGCTGAACCGGATGACCACTTCCAGGACTATCACCATCAGGCTCGGAGCCAGCTTCATCACCAACACCATCATCATCATCATCATCGGCCGGAAAATCATCAAAATCACCGCCCGGGTCGTTGTACATTTCAAATGCGAGATCAAAGTCCGTGATCCCATGATCTGCAGCAAACTCCGCCACATCGGCCCCGTATCCCATGTTGGATAAAGGAAGCTAAGCAAACATAGCCTGGAGCTGGAGCCAAGCCGTCCTGCGGGGGCCCATAATATTGGGGCTTATAGCGGGGAAGAGATCAGTTGGGTAGAATTTGCGGCATCCAGTAACATGGGGTAACATGCAATCCCCCAAAAATTGCAATCTTCAAATCCGAAAATCATCTTCCAGACCCGATATGACCCCATTCTATGGGGATGTAACTAGCCTTTTCGACTGCCCATCCTTGATATCATCCCATGGCCCAAACATGCCGGGTTTTTTGCGCCTGAGTTGCTGGTGCCTCCACAGATCTCTTCGAAACTGCAATCGATGAATTCCACCTGGCCCCGGGTTTGACCAGGAACCCCCTTGGGAAAATGATTTCTCGTGGGTTTTTTCGTTTTCAACACCCATTTAAACGTTTACAGGAGGGTAAATTTGTTGAAGGACGAGAAATGCAATGGCTTGTAACTTGGTGGCTGCAAGCATTTATAGATATTTATAGTGCCAAACATGAGGTACCTTTAAAGGATCCTATAGGATCCTATAGGTACCTGGATGTGGGGGACAACCACAACAGGATTGGACATCCCCACCGGCTGATCAGTGGGATATTCCCAGTTCCTCAGGCTGAGACGGAATTCTCCACGCCCGGGCGGCCGCCGATCAACGGCTCCGCGCCAGCATCTGCGCACAGCCTGAGGCAGGACCTACTTAGACCAACAACGCCCGTGATTTCTTGGGAAAAAAATAAGTGAAATGTTCCCATTGATGTCCCATGTCCATGATGGGTATTACTGGGTATTACACTGGTTGGTGGTTTCAATCCCTCTGAAAAATATGAAAGTCAATGGGAAGGATGACATCCCATATATGAAATGGAAAATAAAATTCATGTTCCAGTCACCACCAACCAGTACAGTTACCAATTAGTCAAGGTACTTGGAGGGTAGTGAATCTGAGGCATCAACCTGGAGACGAAGCGAATCCGTGGGCCGTTGTACATCACCCTGGGTGTGGTCAGGGAGCGCAGCCGTTTCAGAAACGCGGTTGCTGTGCCATGATTTCCTAATAACTTCAATATATGGTTTGTAATATACATGTATATATGTGTGTGTAATTATAATATTAGAAGTTGATGGGGTTTGTAAACCAACTTATAAATTGTGAGGGGGCTCAATGTGGGAAATGATGTTGGAGTTCCAGAGTTCTTGCTTAAGATCTTCAGTTCCTATTCCAATAATTAATTTCATAACAAAAGAACCAAGTCACCGCATGCCTAAAACTGGTCTGACTGATAAAAGTGACTAGTAAGAAACAGGTATCCATTGGGGATATAATTGATACAGTAAATGATGGTTGATTGATGAAAACATATTATGGATCTTATTGGTCTGAGTTTCCGAACATTGTTTTAGTTGCAATACAATTGCAGGTTTCGAGAGCGTTCAAGAAGCCTGGAATAAATCAATGGGAATTTCAGGATCCTAAAATGGAGGTACCTACCATACATAAGGCCTATGTAAGGGAATATCCCCACAAAATATGGCCTTAATTATATGGTACAGTACCTCCATTTTAGGATCCTGGAATTCCCATTGAATAAACCTTGCAGCACAAGTGCCTTGTCACAAGTTTTGCCTTATCACAAGTTTGAAGGTGAAACTAAGCCACAAAAAACACACAAACACCAGGATCAAATGAGCATTGCAAGAAACATGCCTCTGCCATTCGATTATACTGGTTGGCTATGAATGGGATTCCCCGTTCTTGGATTATAATCCCCAATAATCTCCAATATATTGGGTAGTATAATCCCCTATACTGTCAACCCTGGATTAATAAACCCCAAACAGCTGTTTAATTGATTTAATTGGGAAGGTGCCATTTAAGTATCAAATCATGGCTATTGGGGGAATACCCTCCCAATTAATAAACAACGGTTTAGTCTTATCCGGGGTTGACATTAATCATCAACAGGAGTAGATCGAACCACTGCTCAGGGCCTGCGCCGCTGGCGCCGGGAACGGCGACGCTCGTCCTCTTGACCTTGAACGGGCGGGACAGGGACATTTGTTCAATGGGAAGATACCCTACAGTAAATTAACATAGAACCTGGCAGATAGGGGTTGGAAGACTAGTTTCCATTAAAAATTGGTGATTTTCAGGGTCTATGTTAAATTACAAGAAGATAAGACGGCAATAAATAGGGGATATGATGGGATATGACATAGCAATATTATGCAATATTCCCATAGATGGGGATTAAGCAAACAATAGGCATACCATGGAAATCAACATTATATTTTTTGACCATGGCACATGTGAGTTTAGTTTGGATGGTATTGTATTGACTTTGGATATTGGCAAATATTTTAATTGGATGGCTGGCACTGATGGAGTTGAGTGTTGCCATTTGGGTATTGACGCTTGGATGGTGATGTAGCCATTGCATGCCATTGCCATTTTCTTGTCAAGCACCTTTGGTATTGACTTTGGGGGAGCCATCATACAGAGGTGTTTGATGGGGATGATTTCTTGCAGCTTTCCACTGGTGATTTTCAGTCAGTCTATTTCCAAAGACAAGGGTTGGCCCTGAATCCCAGGAACAATTCATTCTTCCAACGGTTTCTTAAAGCAACCCACCCTACCATAGCTACTACTGAGAAACTGATGATATGGATAAACCCAATTTCCATCACATTTCCCTGAGAAAATCACCAACTGCATTTCCAAAAGATTTCCAGGGTTTCAAGTGCCCCCCCCTGGAAAACATGGTTGAACAAACCATAATAGCACATGTGGATACATCTGGCCTTGATTTCAATGTATTGTTGACCCAGGATACTAAATTTGCAAATATTCATTGATATGGACACCAATTCCAAGAAAAACATATCACTATTTGGGAAACGCCCCCAAGTAAAAGCTAACGTAATCCAGGTTTTGCAATTAAAAATAAAATATTATCCATTACATCAATTCTATCCATACTGTCATGTTGATTGCATGAACTTGTTCCATGTTCAACATTTTGTGTAACCAACCAGCGTCAGCGTTAAGCCCTAATTTCCAAAGCGAGCAGCTTTGCAGCGCCTTGAACTCTTCACGACTCCTCTCCTGACCCCGAGCGGTTGCAAGCGGATGCTCGTTGATTCCAGCAATCACATCCCACAAAATTTATCACATGTTTCTTACAAGAAACCACCAACAACATTGATCAACGCCAACAAACACCCATGGGTTTTGATTATTTATCATCATTTATCATCATTTGTGGAAGCTCATCAAAAATCATCAACAATCATTATGTATCTTCATTTATAAAACAATCATCAACAATCATTATTTATCATCATTTATTTAAAAAAAAACAACAATCATTATCTATCATCATGTAAAAAAACATCAACAATCATTATTTATCACCATTTATTTAAAAAAAAACAACAATCATCAACAATCATTATGTATCATCATCATATATAAATATATAAACTCAAAAATCATTATTTATCATCATTTACCAACCCAAATTCATCAACAATCACTATTTATCAGCATTTATTAAAACAAAAAAAAACAATCAGCATTTAACATCATTTATTTTTTTTTTAAAAAAAACATCAACAATAATTATTCATCATCATGCAAAAAAATCATCAATCATTATTTATCACCATTTATTTTCAAAACAAATCATCAACAATCATTAGGTATCATCATTTATATTAAAAGAAAAAACTCAAACATGATTATTTATCATAATTTATCAACAAAAACTCATCAACATTCATAATTTATCAGCATTTATTAAAAACAAGAAACAACAATCAGTATTTAACATCATTTATTAAAAAAAAAAAAAACATCAACAATCAGTATCTATCATCATTAAAAAAACACATCAACAACCATTGATTCATCATCATGTATCAAACATCGTCAAAAATCCCAATGATTCTTTAACCAATCACTATAATTTACTTCGATGTTCCCCACCTCGGTGCGCACGGCCTCCTCAAGGCGCATTTCCTGGGTCAACCTCCGCAATTCGTGGGTCGCCCCGCGGCGTTGGGGAAGTGCCGAAGGGCCGAAGTGCCTTTGTGGTGGATAGCCTCTGGTAATGACTAACAGTTTGCTATTGAAAATGGATGAACATGGCCATAGAAATAGTTGATTTATCCACAAAAATGGTGGGAATGACTATTGAAAATTGCCATTTATAGTTGATTTACCCATAAAAAATGGTGGTTTTCCATAGTTATGTAAACGTTTACCAGAGGGTAACCATGATATAACCCAGTTCTATGTGGGCTGTTGTGGCTTGGTGTAGCTTATTGTGAGATGATATGGGTTAGGAATGTTATGAGTTGTTTGGGGACTTAGGGAGGTTAGTAAAGGCAGTTTTTCTTTTATCGTAAGTGGTGAGCATCGTATAACCCAATTTATAGCTAGGTTATTAACCCACTTCCTAAATGGGATGCCAGGCGGAACGGAGTAGCAGTTTGGTAGCTGTGACATCCTCATGATGGTTGAATAGCTAGGTCCATATTCACCCTCAAAGCCTAGGAGTTAAATTTTTAGTGTTCTTTCATTTAAACTTTCCCCCAAAGATAAAAGACGTTCCCAAACATGGGTCCAGTTCATATACAAGGTGGTGCCCCCAGTTTTGTATGTTGCTTAGTTTAGTTGCAATTTCATGAACCAGTTCGACATACCTACCTGAACCCCAAACATCATTGGAGTTATGTTAACCAAGTCGGCTAACCAACTGGGTTGTATCATTGGTAGCCATCCCAAATAAGTACTATTGATGTCACGAAAAGGACCCCCTTTGCCTCGTATATGCCGTTAATTAATCGTTAATTATGGGATATCATAATCCGCAATTACTGTGAACAAACTCGGTAAGTAGATTGCTAACCCCGTGTGGTAGCCAATCAATCGTGTTGTCTCTAATGGCTCATGTGGAACTATAGGAAAATAAGGATTGGGGCACTGAATTTGGAGGTGACCATTTTTGGACACTAGTGTGTAAACCCAAGCTTCCTATTTGGGGGATGGTTGAACTTCATGCCTTTATAATATGTCATTGGGATCGACAATCATCTTTCAAATGCCATCAAACTGTTGTTCTGTGTCCAACTTAGGGGGGCAAATACATTCTGAGTATCCAAACATTTCATTGAAACTGTCCATTGAAAGACCCATGATACACAGCATCCATGTATTTTTCGCTGCTTAAGTACTAGTCATTGAACAACCAAGAATCAGTTCATGACAATGTCCAGGAGAAAAACAAATGGCAGCATATCATGATGTAATTTGTCAGAAATTGCATAATCAACGAGTCATACATCATCAATGGGCATTATGCACATCTCCAACCCGTTACATATATATGGGTTATCCAACAAATTATCCAACAAAAAAAGGGATGGTTGCATAACTAACTTAACCATAAAGAATAAATATTAATTGTATCCCATCTATGTAGATAATATAGTTATAGTTATATATATATATATATAGTGGGCTGATGTGGGTTGTATATAAATCTCAATGATGACCCCCTTTTCCCACCCTCCGCGCTCCAGCTTCGGCTCCGCACATGGACGGCTTCGGCTCCTTCTTTGGCGCGGGATCCAGGCCCAGTTCGGCGGCGGCCGCTCTGGCCTGGCGACAGATGGGGGAAATGTGTTTTTTTTTGAGAATCCTAGGCATTTGATGGCATCTGTAGTATAAATGTTTTTCTAAAAACATGTGTTTCAATATATCTGAACTTGATTGAAATTTCAATCAATCAAACTTTTTAAACTCGAACATCAGACCCAACATGTTTATTGGTTTATTGCACTCACTTTCACTTAAAACTGTGGATTGAAATTGCTAAAACATATTCACAAAATTGAGAAAACAATGCACACCAGGAATGCTCAGAAAATTTTGACGCATTTCAGCAAAAATATATATATATATAGAATTCTGAAAGTTCTGAGGTTGAGCATAGATCCAACTCCCATACGTTGGAAAAAATCAGGGATCGAATTCATCCTGGAAACCTTCCAACAGTTCACTTAATGATACTGGATCCCCCTTTTGCAAGAAAACACCTCATCTTTTACCAGTTTTTTTGGACATGATTTCCAAGCTAAGAGCTGTCCAGGTCCCAAATGAAGGTTGGTGGGTTAGAATGCAAATTTCTTCCATTCCCAAAGGATTCAACAACTCAAATGCTTGTTCGCTTCACCAAAAAATCAAGATTTGGAGGTTCCCAACAAGTATAATGGTGATATAATGTGATATTCATGGTGATATCCCAGTTATTCATGATATTTAATGACTATGTCCCTATGATATCCCGATTCGGATGTTTCCCAAGTCATGGGGGTGCCCCGAAATCATCCAAGTCATATTGAAAGCCATGGTGACGACTGGGGATAGCTCCACTGCTCCCAGGCCTTGGTTTCGTCCCGTAGCTGACGTTGCTCCATGGTGGAGTGTCGCAGGATCCTGCAGTGCGCCACAAAAGACGCTGTGATTTCCAAGATATTACCCGTATAATGTATGTATATGCATATATATATAACAATATAATATATATATATTATAATGTATGTATATGTATATATGCAAATAATATATATATATATACATTTGATTATATAATATATCTATAAAACTATATATATATATATACTATATACGTATCTATATACATAGCAACCCCCCAAAAAATGGTAGAACAGTTGAACACATGGAAATTATGGAGGAGAACATATCGTCTATATACCATCATGGAAATCATGTTCGAATATCTTTTTGGGGTTGCTATTATATAATTGAAAGGAAACAAACACTGACATATTTGTGTTTGAACAATCTTGGATGAACCTCCCACTGTCCCACAGATTTTTGAACAGCAAAGCTCATGGTCACATACCCTTCACAAATCGTTTACCCAGTTATACTAGCTATTATATATATACATATTTGCATTCCAACATCACCAAGTCCGAAATTCAAGAAAACAAAGAACACAATGATCACATCTTTTGCACATAGAACCCCTCGATTTCCTATAAAATCCCAAACCGTTTGCATGATGTAGTAAACCCATCAAAAACTTGGTAAAATCCAAACAACAAACTTCATAAATCACCAAAAATCCATCAAAATCTTGATAACTGCCTAGAAATCCTAGTAAGTCCTAGTACCCTCTGGTAAACATACAAAAAACTATTGAAAATGGCCATATTTATAGAGGATTTACCCATTAATAGCATGGTGATTTTCCATAGTTTTTTGTATGTTTACCAGAGGGTAGCCAAGATTAACCATCATTAACCATCATTAACCATCATTAACCATCATTAACCATCTATATTAGCCAATGATGGTAAATTCCGCCATTTGCGAGGAACAATCTGCAACTTCCATCCCCAGCCTCTCCTGTTGGCCCTCACCATTGGCACCTTCGGCCCCGTTGGCGAAGACCCGGCCGGGCGCGACCCGGTGGCCGGGCGCCGGCCTTCCCGGGGAAGGCCGGGGATGGTGACCTTCCGGCGTTTTGCCTCGAGCGATGGAGGGGTTTTCCCGGAAACCCATGGTTTTGACCATTTTTTGACCATCAAATTTGATGGTTTCCGGTTTTAAAGGAATTCCCATCATCCAATTCTGTGATTATGTTAATTATCACTTCAATATTACAGGTATTGAAGATATACCTGTTTTATCGTACTGATATTGGATCATATTATTATATATATACATACATGTGTGTGTGTGTGTTTTCGTGATCTATTGGTTTATGTAGTCATTTATTTGCTTATTTATTGATGTATTCATATTATTTCATTTATGCATTTATTCCCCACCTGCCAGGTGAGGGTTGTTAGATTTTATGTCAGTTGCCTCCTCCTCCTTCTCCTCCTCCGCCTCCTCCTGCCTCGTCCTCCTCTCCTCCTCCTCCTCGTCCTCCTCGTCGTCCTCGTCGTCCCGTCGTCCTCGTCCTCGTGCTCAACTGCGACCCGCGATCCACAGTGTTCTCTGCCGGACCTCAACCACGACCATCCACGCCCAGTGTTCCCTGCCGGACCTCAACCACGACCATCCACGCCCAATGTTCCCTGCCGGACCTCAACCACGACCATCCTCGCCCAGTGTTCCCTGCCGGACCTCAACCACGACCATCCACGCCCAGTGTTCCCTGCCGGACCTCAACCGCGAGTATCCACGCCAAGTGTTCCCTGCCGGACCTCATGTAGGAAGATATGGGACAAAGAATGTGCAGAAGAAAGTTAGAAAGAATGACAGAAAGAATGTCAGAAGATATGCCAGAAGATATGCCAGATAGAATGCCAGATAATATGCCAGAAGATATGCCAGATAGAATGCCAGATAGAATGCCAGAAGATTTGCCAGATAGAATGCCAGAAAATATGCCAGAAGATATGCCAGATAGATATGTCAGAAGATATGCCAGAAGATATGCCAGAAGATATGCCAGAAGATATGTCAGAATATATGCCAGAAGATATGTCAGATAGAATGCCAGAAGATATGTCAGAATATATGCCAGAAGATATGCCAGATAGAATGCCAGAGAAGATATGTCAGATAGAGTGCCAGAAGATATGCCAGATAGAATGCCAGAAGATTTGCCAGATAGAATGCCAGAAGATATGCCAGAAGATATGCCAGATCATATGCCAGAAGATATGCCAGATAGAATGCCAAATAGAATGTCAGAAGATATGTCAGATAGAATGCCAGAAGATTTGCCAGTAAGAAAATGTATAAATGTCATGGTGGGGATCACACGAAGTAAAGTAATTGTTTTTATTCATTTATTGCGTATGTAATATTGTTGTGCACATATATTTATATATGCAAACAATGAATACAATTGGCGGATATAAACCTAATATTTGATAGTGAACGCAGCACGATTTCATATTTTTGGATATGTGTATAGTGACTAGTTCCAAGACCATCAGAAATAGTCAAAACTCTAATTGTTTAAATTTAGGTCCTTCTTAGGATATTTCAAGATCGTCATCTAAATGTAGGAGAATTACTATCTGTATGATTTTACGTTGGATTGTTTACATCAATGGATTGGTTTTCACGGGAAAAAATCACCGGAAAGCCCCATTAACATCTTCATGGGAAAATCGATGGTTTCGGGTTAAGGTGTTCCCTTAAACCAATCCATTGTTTGTCAAGGTTGAACCAATAGCTTCATCCACCACGTCCTCACAATTTCTTATGTGAACTTTCTGTCTGCCCCCACACGCTCCAGCGGCTCTTGCTCCTGGCTGGGAAGAGCCGCTATCAGTTTTGCGTTTGTTTATTGATGGAGGTGTTTAATGATTTTCATGGGAAAATCAAACAACTAAATGATGGATGTTCTAGCAAGTCATGTTTGACTATCCGCCCCAAATCGAGGTTTATAAGGGAACGTCATCCAACCGTCCTCTAGTCCTAGTGGAAACTTATCGGTGATGATATGCTTAGACCCTTCAAGTACCCATGGAAACCTATGAAATGCCAAAAGTCATGGCTATGTTACATTATATTCCTCTATTTTTCTAGGCACTTGGAGGGTCTAAACTTTATTGCTCAAGAACGTCCATTTCAGGATTCTAACGAGGCTGAGCCTTGTGCACACCTTGATGGATTTGATGGCAATCATGCACCCAAAGCACAATCATCATTGCTGATTGGAGATGGCAAAAATCGGCTGGGACATTCAGGTTCCCCATTGGTTATCCCATTAAAAGATATTAAAAGAACTATAGTTATATAATTATAATGGGATATTTTAATGGTAATAGTTATGATATAAATTTAATGGGATAACTATAGTTGAACTTAATGTTATCCCATTATATATATAATCATTCAAGCTCAACATCATCATCACCCAACATCACCCAACAATACCCAACACATGTTTTTCTCTTGCCATTTGGTTCCTGAAATGGGGGTACCCCCAAATCATCCAGTCGTCATGGATGACCTGCCTGCGGCTCCGCCTCCTCGGGTGTCTTCTGGCTGAAGTCCGAGTCCTGCGACTCAGAGGAGTCCTGGACGTTGGGATGGGGAGTTCATGGGGGGGTTCATGGGGGGTTCATGGAGGAGTTTAGGGTTTTCAGATGGGTTTAAGGTGGGTTTAAGGTGGGTTTAAGGTGGCTTTAATATATTTTAATATGTGATACATGACCGATACATGACCAATGGGACCCAATGGATTTATATCGGATTTCATGTGGGGTTAAGCATCAAATATCATCAAATAATCTCCCGGGATCTCATCCGGATCTCAAGCATTTTATGGTTGGATAGACCGTGTATTGGTTTAATGTGGGTTGAACCCTCCAGGAATTGGGATATCATCTAATGATGTGGGTTTTGACCATGTAAAATATAGTTTTGGATTTTGGTAGGGTTCATTTTTTTCTGGCCATTGGACTGGTTGAATGGAATTTAGTTCAATGGAAATCATGCTGTTTAGTCCTGAATACATTGGGATTTTCTGGGAGCTACAAGGATGGGGGATACATTAAGCAGCAACAATGAAGAAACGTGAACTGGTACAAAAGTGGGAGGGTTTTGAAACTGTAGAAATTCAGGGATGCACTAAAAACATGAGGGCATACATATTGACAAATAACAAGAGTGGGATACTATGGAATATATATGAGATAATGACCCATACTCTTGGCAAAGGATGTGAACTAATTCTATTCATCATTACTCCATTCAGCCGTCTTAGGCTGGTTTCCTCCAAACATATGCCCTGTTTACATCATCGGTGGGTTCCGCGGGATTGCTCCTCCTGGCCCTGAAACTCGCTGTCGGAAGAGGCATCTTGGAAGTCGGCATGGTGCCAAAACTCCTGGCACTGCTTGGAAGGGGCCCAAAGAGCCTGGGATGTGAGGCACCACTTGTGGGGAACTAAACGGTTCAAAGTTCCTAGCGGCTAGTCGGAACAAAAAAACTGGGTTGAAGATTGTTGAAGTTGGTGAGAAACTCATAGTCTTTTTTTGGAGCTTGAGTTTTGTTGCCTACTCTTTTCTTCTATATCTTCTTCCACTGTCAGTAACCATGATGCCCACCAAGTCGCAACAGCTCCAACAACAACTGGCATCAGGGGCTGTCCTCATCGTCCACCAAATCTTTCCTTGGCCAACGCATGAACCTTTCAGCTACCCTCGGCCCTAGGGTAAACAAACAGAAACTGGTTGGTGGTTTCAACCCCTCTGAAAAATTAATATAGTCAGATGGGATTATTATTCTCAATTTATTGAAAAATAAAAAATGTTCCAAATCACCAACCAGGAAACATGTGGTTTCAACTTGAACCCTCTTTCGGAAAATCCTCAATGGAGGATCATCCGACTCTTCGTTTGACCAAGGCAACCAGCTGCTACCGCCGACAAGTGGCCCATCCAGCACAGTCCAACGCTTCCCTCGAGTTTGTCGCTTTGGACCTCGGGGAAAAGGGGGGGCGGTGGCCAACTAAGCCTGGAACTGTATCAAATTGAAATGGTTGAAATATGTGGAAATATGTTGAAGTACATAATTCACAATCATTCATATCATAATATCAAAACCATTCATAACCATTTACAACCATTCATATGGCTATTCGCAGCCATTCGCGACCATTCATAACCATTCATCACAACTGAATCATAAACATTCATAATAACCATTCAAAAATGAATAAAAATGATTCATATCCATTCATCATAACCATTCATCATAACTTAACCCTTCATAATCATTCATAACCATTCATAACCGTTATAACCCATGAAATGGCCCAGCACGGCACAGGATTGTCATGCTGAACAGCGTTGGCACAGTCCCGAGAGCCACGACGTTCTTGGATATTTGCGGTTGGAAGGTCCTACAGTGGCACGGGCGATCTGTGGCGACCTCCACATCATCCAAGCTACACCGAATCTGTACAAAACTAACCAGGTCAACCAAGATGGTCTTCCCTGAAACCAATGAATACCTGAAACACCAAGGTTCAGCAGATTCAAGACACGACCGGTTTATTTGTAGAATATGGACAAGCCTTCAAGAAGAAGTGTCCGCAGGACCGTAGGATTGGGACCAACTGGACCAAAGATCGCATCGATCACTACGAACAACAGCTAAATCAATACACATGGATACCCATGGTACATTCAGACACGTATGCGTGTGGATGTTTCACCATTCCACATTCACCAACTTTCCAATCACCAGATACTGCAGAAACATGCCCCTCCCATGTGATTTCACCACAGTCCCAAGGGTTCCCCCAGTTTGTACCATCCTAGGTCGATTTCCGCTATAGTTATGTTTGCCAACATGTAGCTATTGATTCAAAACCCGAGGAAACCTGTAATGTCGGTAAAACCATGTCATAAACCATCCCCAAATCACCATAAATTGATGGTATAAACTTATATGAACTTACCATTCACAGTCATGGGTGGTTTATGGCATTGTTTTACACACTAATGGATTTCCCAGCGGTTTAATGGTTAAGATCTTATTACTTCCCAATTAATTACATAATTTCCCATATTTTGAGTTAATGGCAACAATGACTATATGACTAAGACATTGTTCAGCAGGCCTCATCGCTGATGCTTTCTTCTGGATCATCTGCAAGGCCAGGGCCGGCCGTTGGGTACCGGGGAATCTGCTGAAAGGTGGCGATGTTGAGAACGAATTAATGGGGGTTTCCATAAATGGAGGTACTCCTAAATCATCCATTTATAGATTGGGATATTGAATTATAAACCATCCATTTGGGGATACCTCCATTTATGGAAACCCCTATGCTGTTCGTTTCTGTATTCAAACAATATCAAACAATATCAAACAATATCAAGAATCAAAACTTGTTGGACTGAGTAAACTGGTGTTTCGTCAGGTTGCAAGAGTGTTGTAAGCCTCATAAACCTGGCGGACAACTTATATCTATATGTATGAAACAAAGAGACCTTCACGCCGTCACTTCACCCAATCTGTGGTGCCCATGGGCCACAACTGGTCATTTTGGATCATTTTGGCATAGGAGACCATCCATTTTTTGGAAGGGTTGCAACTTTGACTCGTTCATCCCCAACAAACAAAAGCGATTGCACAAATTGTCAAACACACAAAAATCTCCAGCAATGACTACACTACATGGGATACATGGGATCCACACCTGCTTGGCTATCATCTTCAGATTCGGCGCCCTCTTCTCCGCCTGGCTGGCTTTTGCGCTTGGAAAAGCCACCATTTCGTTCGATGATTTTCCCAGATGTTCACCTCCACCGGAAATTTCCCGCGTTGGATTACCAAAGGGTAAAAAATAGATGATGGAAATATCTGATGACTATCCCATTATCACATGATGATCCCTATGAAAGCATAGAAACACCATAAAATCCCATGAAAGTCCACGAAAGTCCGCGGGAGTCACTCAACAACTCAACCGCCCTTCGGATTTCCTCAAAGTCTTCGGTAAGGCTGGTGTCTTCAATTGTCAATGGCACGTCTCCTTTCGCCGCTTCCAGAACACAATGATAGCTACTACACTTTTATATCTTTTATACCCCCCCCAAAAAAAAGACATCTGATTAAAAAAAAATGGATGGTGTGGTACATCATTATTACCCAATGACTATCCCTTTGCGAGGAACAAAAATCTGCCAGGTCCGCCGCTCGCAGTGCTGTCGGAAGTTGAGGCTGCCTTAACCGCAGGTGTACTGTAGGCTCGAAAAACCATGAAAAACCACCTGTTTCTCATGTGCTGCCTTATATGCATGTTCAAAAAGCAAAAATGTACTACATACATCTACATACTGTAATTGTATGTAATTTCTTCCATAGATATTTGTGGGCATGATTTCATCACCATTGCTGTCAGCTGCTGGCCGGCTGGTTGTATCCTGATGATCCCGCCAAGTCACAAAACTTCAAAAGTCTAAGTGTATACAATATGGTTGCACACATTTAATAAAACATAACAAATATACTCTTGTATGTATCTTTGAATGTTTCAAGCTTTGCGGCCAGAAACAAGTTGCTACCTTTGAAACCTGGCCATGCTGAGCCATCTGAAAGTGGATGAACCCGGACCGTCGACCCGCGCCTCATGCTCACACATGGCAGCCACGAGGATCAAGAAATGCCGGCTGCAGTGTCTTTAGGCTGTGTTGGTCTGACTTCGAAGTAGCCAACAGGTCGAAATTGGACACCTACTCAGGCTCCACTGTTCAAAAGAACAAGTATGAACAAAAAACATCTTTGAGCGACTTGGAGTGTTGCAAAACAACATCCAAGACTGAAACATGTATCTTATGCTTTAAACATGTTGAACAATGTGATATTTAACACTTCGTCTGAAGCTTTCAATATGTTTAAGCCATATGCCTTGAAGCGGGCCCTGATGGCGACCTCCTGGCCAAGTGCTTGCTTAGCTTGCCATCCCCTTCCCTAGTGGCCCAGTGGGAGACGCTTTTCGAAGGTCATTGTCCATTGGCTAAACTAAGAGCAGCCCTATGCTGCAGCGTTGAGCCTTGCTCCCATCGACGGGAGGCTAGCTGTGCCACACCCATCTCAAAGTTTTTGATGTGGCACTAAACATGGTACCCTGGTACCCTCCAGGGTTCATGTTCTGCATGGATTTCTCAAGGTTTCTCCACCCTGTGAACTCTAGATTTCAGCTCCCTGGATGTAGCTCATCCTACTCGCCGCAGGCGCTGCGTTGAATTCGCCGTGCCGTTTTGGCACAGGCAAGGCGAAAGGCGAAAGACGCAAAAGGTCCAGTACAAACCAGCCGAAGCTGGTGGAACCGGGGGGGGTGATCCTGACGAATTCGACCAACTTTCCACCTAGGGGTGGTCCTGCACCAATAAACGAAAACATGTTCTGGGGGCGCTTGTCATTTACTTATTGAGTGGGAAATGCTAAATAAATTTAGATCTATATATATATATAATCATATAAACTGCTTGAAGGATTCAACTCCCAGTGTGAAGATATTCCAACACCCTGCGCAATCACATTGTTTTCCGTTTACAAATCTACAGCACTGCTTGTAGTTTGATGTTAATTGTTGTATTTTCTTGGGCCACTTGAGTGGGTTATCGCCCAGTCTTGCTGGCATTTCATCCTGGTCTTGGACAATCAGAACCAAAATTGCGAATACCATATTCTACCATGGTTTCCTCATACACTCCATTCTTGGCGGTTTGGACCTCCGAAAATTTGAACATCATTGGGGATCATCATGATCATCCCAAGTATTTATGAAGTAAACACATTTTTTACCAATTGAGTAACCATCGGAATTTGGACCTTTGATGCCACATAAGTAGTCCATGGACCAAAATACCGCAATCGCCATGCTAGGTTTCAATGTCGCCCATATATCTCCAATCATGAAACAAATACTCCCTTGTTGGGACTACCAATAAAATCTTGAGGGCAAATAACCACATATCAACATTCATATAAACCCTGATATTCACAAACAGTTGCTGGATATTGCTGGTAGATCACTACATCCCCCCCATTCTGTTCGTGAAGCTTCCGAACTGGCGCTCAGCTGAACTCGATGGGCAAAGCTTCCGAATCGGCGTTCCGTTCGTTCCGTGCTCCAGCTCAGCGGTGGACGGGTCCCAGATAGATCTATGATTCATCTTTTTTGGATTATAGGGAATTAACCAAGACATGGTTGCCATGAATGGTTTATAGGGGTACCCCGAATAGCTGGATGGTTTATAATTGTTTATAAGTTTATAATGGAAAATCCTCGAACAAAAGGCATGATTGGGGGGCACCCCCATGACTTAGGAAACCTCCACATGCTGAACAAGTCTTTCCAGGATGGGAGAGGCATGATTTGATCAACATAATCTGACGGTTTGCTATACTGCACAGCCATTTGAGGGTTTCTCAAATAGGGGTACTCCAAATTCCAAATCATCCAAAATTAGACAATTTTAGTCTTGAAACCCATGGTTTTGGGGTACCCGTTCTAGGAAACCTCCATTTGAATAGCCTTCTTAATGGTATGGTATGGTAATGCCACAGCAAAAGTCACAGTTGCAGTGTTCTGAGAATCCGGTGTGGGGAGCCCTCACAAACCCATCCAGACTTGGATTTGCAAGACATGGTCACTTCGATAGTGGATACAAGCAAGCATTTTCAAAGGGGATACCACATGAGATATGTGGATATTACAGTCTATAATAGTCTATACGTAAATCTATGATAAGTACCCTATGGTTATTTAACATAGCCATGGAAATTGGCCCATTTATAGTTGGTTTACCTATTAATAGCATGGTGATTTTCCATGGCTATGTTAGTCATAACCAGATGGTACATGTAAGAAAAAAACAGCAAAAAACTGATACATGGCCCCATAGTGACGATAAAAAAGTGATTAACTTGTTTAAGCCATTGGATTTTCATGGATTTTCTGTCAATTTTTTTTGACACAAATCCACTTAGGATGATCCTCCAAGGCTACTTGATGCTACTGAAGTGAATCGCCGAGCATGAAAATTCTATTCCTCTAAGCTAATTTATGATATAAACATATAATAACATATAATTAATAACATATATATATATAGATCTTATTGGATGGCTTGTCCTTAAGGGCAATTTTATGGATCATTTTGGGAAGGTTTCGCTAAATCATGCTAAATCAATCTGTGTTTCTGACACATACCATCACATACCATCCATGCTCATTTGCAAATACCACAGTTCGTCAGCTTTCCGCAATGATGAATTTCTTTCGCATTGAGGTAGCTGCCGAAACTCATGCGGCGATGGATCAATCAATATTCGGGCAGCGTGATGTTTGTTTCCAATGAGATCCTCGTTAGGAATAAGAACCATCCATCTAACTATGAATGGCGTATTCGACTGTGATGTTGGGCCAAATATCTACAGCAAAAATACCCAAGACATGTTTCAACCTATCACCTTTCCACCTGCTCTGAGTAGGTGCTTGAGTGCTTGAGGAAATGGTCCACATTATCCATGCGGGTATCAAGGGGTGCCCCCTGCAGCAAGTGACCCTTCCCCCCTGCGGCCCTGCCTGCTTTCACCCCATGACACCTCAGGGAGATGACCACTGGAAGCTTCGCTGGTGGGTCAAGGTACCACCAAATACTCTTACCCTGGGAGTCTGGGAGAATAACACCTGGGAATGGATGCATATAGTACATGTGTGTGTAAATGATCATAGATATTAAAGTTATATATATATATATAAACTATACATATATATATATTATTATTGTTTAACAGTTCAACATATACCCATTTATAGAAAATGGTCGGCTTAAAGTGAGGGAGCTCCCATTCCTGCACATTGTCAAATTGCAGGAGGTTGAGAGGGGCATTGCGTTTTGACAGATGTAGCCAAAACATACACAGGCTCACAGCCACAGAAAACCAGTTAAGACACCAAGCATGCCCGGAGAAACCGGTTGAACTTTAACCCATAATCAGAATCAAACTCATTGGGCACCATTGAACCACAAAAGCTCAGCTGAATTCCACGCCGTGAAAGGCTGAAAATGACCTTGGTTTCACATCTTTTCTCCCAAAAAGCGTGGTCTTCCCTCTCTCTCTCTATTCTCTCTCTCCAAGAGAGGGCAGCTGTCTTTGTGCTGCAGCTCAGCAAGATGACGCTGATGACGATGATAGCGATGATGGCGACTATCAACCTCCTCTGGAACTCCCATCTCAATCACATGGGACGATTCCGTCTTGTTTTTACCAAGGCGAGAATAGCTACCCTCCAGTGGCCACATCCCAAATCCTCAAGACTCCTCCAGGATTGATGTAGAGCCGTCCTCACCATCTTTGCCCTTGACTTCAGCATAGAGGCGACAGGCGACCGAGAAGAGGAGGATTCAGCTAAGTCCTGAGGGGTGAACTCCAAACATCCAAACCCAACCTCAAACACTGATAAAACTGGCAAGTTAAACGCCAAGAGTGGCGCAGTCCCAAACTAAAATACTCAAACTTGTGAAGTGCGGGCCCTTTTTGCTCCAGCTTAGTATGAATATGAACCTTATCAAAGAAGAATGAGTTGAATGAATTACCGAGAAGTAGTTCCAGTAACCATTCACTGCGAAATCCACATAGTCCACTAGAAAATGTCGTGCACATCATACATCCCAAAGTTACACCGTCAAAAGTCAAGCTTGGCATTGCCAATATTAGGGTATCAATATGTATCAATCTCCATTAGAACAATTAGAGAAATCCTCGTCGAAACCATCACCTGCAGCCAGGAGACCCTTCGGTATCTTCGGTCAACAACTGGACGGCCCGCTCGACCCCACCAGCCGCGTGCAGGGACTCCGCCATGCGTGCTGCACGAGTTCGGTAGCTGTCGGTGGTCCAAACGTTGCGCAAGGCGTCTCTGATCTGAGACTGGTACCTGGCAGAACAGAACGTGGCAGGGGATGGTGGGGATGAGGATGACGACGATGAAAGGTGAATCATGATTGATGAATGATGACTTATGAATGGTGAATGATGAATGATGACTGATGATGACGATGTTGATGATGATCTTGACCTTCATTGATCCTGATGTGTATCTGAGAAATGAATTTGAGCATTTTGAGCATTGTTTTGGTGATGATGATGGTGATGATGGTGATCCAAGTCACGGCAACTGGATGGGAACCCATGGCATCATCTCAAGATTGATGAGGAAACTGTGTGCTTTCTGTCATTCTTTCTCCTTGCCCCTTTAGACCCCCTGTTTCGCAAGAGGTTTTTGACCATCTTTGTTTTTTTTGCATGATCTAATATCGCCTCATCTCCTTGGCATTTTTGTGGGTGAACCCCCAAGTTTTAAATATTTTTCCAGGTCCACAACTTCGGCAGGCTCCAACGGTCCAATCCTCCGCGCCTGGCCGCCTCCGTCTCCTCCCGCGGCCGCAGCACGCAGCGGCCCAGCCGCAGCCGCTGCGCACGCTGAGCGTTGCTCGGCTGGTCGCCGAAGCCAGGACATGCCACGACGGGAACACCGAAGTGGAGGCTCTCCATGAAGGAATTCTGACCACCTTTTGAAAGGGAAACATGGGAAACTATAGTAAGGGGGGGGTTGTCTGAAAATATACCACCTTAGATAGCCATGTCATAGGGATATAATGGAATATCATGGATCATAACGGATTATAATGAGGATCATAGTGAGGATTATGATGGGGATATGTGACTCTAAGTGACCCACGTAGCGTCAGCGGCCATCAAAAGATAGGGAAAGAAGTTGTGCAATCAACAAGAAGGTTCGATTTAAAATCTAAGTGGTTTATGCGTACAAGTGAGGATTGATAAGTACGTTGATTCAAGAAATGGTAGATGGTCAAAATAACATGTCATTACTAAACTACTAGAACTTGAAGCGTTTTCTTGGGGATCTGCTTTGGATGGCTAGATATAATATTTCACCAGCATGAAAACAAGTTAGTTTGGGATTATTCACCCTATACTAGCCATCATCTTCAGCCTATTGATATAGGTCGTGGTACTTATTGTCCCAAGTATATCCATTTCCCCATTCCATCTCCAATATATTGTTGGTTTATTGGTTAACCCATGTTTTCTCCATATCACCTTGGATTTGCTTGAACCCCACCCCAAAAAATCCCTACAGATTCCCCAAGTAGTGGATTTTCCATTGGGAAAAATGACCGTCAAATATCATAACTCAGCAACAATTAGGATGGTTGAGTTTCCCATAAACCTCCATTTATCGATGTCCCATGATTTTCCGCTATGTTCCCATAATTTTCCCATGAAATCCCTGGATCTAGGACTGACCCAGCGAGGCACAATGCGTCACGAACATCGCCGGCTTCAGCCGCAGTAGCTCCACCTGCGGCAGCACCGCGTGGCACAGCACGTTGCCGGGCACTGCCAGCCCTTCCAGGGCGTCGGGCTGCGGCCCCACAGCCACCAGGAGAGGCACGTCTTCTGCGTCTCCGAATTCTTTGAAAACGGCCTGACCGTTGAAAGCCAAGGCTGATAGGGATGAAGATATAAAGATATACATCTATATATTATAAATATATATATATAAGATTGGAAGGTATCCATAGAAAATAGGGGGTTAAGAAGGTGTAAATGACAGAAACGGAATATATAGAACGTATTAAAAACATTCAGGATTTTAGCTGAAAAACATCAGACAGTTGATAGGAATCAAACATGTATGGTGGGGATTGAACCTATCAAAAAAGGTGTATTGAGATGTATTGAGCTTCTGAGATCCAATGGGTGTTTAAATAATTATGAGGTTGCATGCAAATCTGCTCCCACACCCAAAAATCATCAAACATCAACCATCTCCTCGCCTCGAAAACTGCTTGACACAGCTGTTTTCCAGTGATGGCATATCCATCCTTTGCCCCCCAGCCATGGTTGCGACTGTCTCCCGTGATCACCGTGCCCAGTGACACCAAGATCCAGCGCGGTGCCGTTGCCACAGCCGCCACCGTTGCCAGCTGCGGCCCCGTGGCCAGCTGCGGCCCCGTGGCGA